TTTGTTTGTACTTTTCCTGAGCTTCTAACATAAAGAATGCTATTGCACCATTATCCACATACGGCACTATGCGGCAAGATCAATATGATTGGTGGGTCTTCCCTTCCGCTAGGCATGCTGGGAATCAGATAGTAGACTGGGAGGAATGATTGCTATGAGGTGCAGCCCCAAAAGGCGTTCCGTCGTGTTCAGAGGAAAGGGAAAGCCGACCATTTGGGATGGTGTCGAACGGTATTTATAGGTAAAATGCGGCACGAGAAGGTTTGGTCAAACAGCTTCATCTTAGTCGTTTATCTATAGATTTTTACAAATGGTACCTTGAACGACGCATAATTAATGTACCTATACAAAATACAAAGAGAGTTACAACAATAAATTTGTTTGTACTTTTCCTGAGTTTCTAAAATATAGAATGCTATTGCACCATTATCCACATACGGCACCATGCGGCAAGATCGATTTGATTGGTGGGTCTTCCCTTCTGCTAGGCATGCTGGGAATCAGATAGTAGACTGGGAGGAATGATTGCTATGAGGTGCAGCCCCAAAAGCCGTTCTGTCGTGTTCAGAGGGAAGGGAAGGCCGACCATTTGGGATGGTGTCGAACGGTATTTATAGGTAAAATGCGGCACTAGAAGGTTTGGTCAAACGGCTTCATCTTAGTCGTTTATCTATAGATTTTTACAAATGGTACCTTGAACGACGCATAATTAATGTACCTATACAAAATCAAAGAGAGTTACAACAATAAATTTGTTTGTACTTTTCCTGAGTTTCTAAAATATAGAATGCTATTGCACCATTATCCACATACGGCATCATGCGGCAAGATCGATTTAATTGGTGGGTCTTCCATTCTGCTAGGCATGCTGGGAATCAGATAGTAGACTGGGAGGAATGATTGCTATGAGGTGCAGCCCCAAAAGCCGTTCTGTCGTGTTCAGAGGGAAGGGAAGGCCGACCATTTGGGAAGGTGTCGAGCGGTATTTATATGTAAAATGCGGCACTAGAAGGTTTGGTCAAACGGCTTCATCTTAGTCGTTTATCTATAGATTTTTACAAATGGTACCTTGAACGACGCATAATTAATGTACCTATACAAAATACAAAGAGAGTTACAACAATAAATTTGTTTGTACTTTTTCTGAGTTTCTAAAATATGGAATGCTATTGCACCATTATCCACATACGGCATCATGCGGCAAGATCGATTTAATTGGTGGGTCTTCCATTCCGCTAGGCATGCTGGGAATCAGATAGTAGACTGGGAGGAATGATTGCTATGAGGTGCAGCCCCAAAAGCCGTTCTGTCGTGTTCAGAGGGAAGGGAAGGCCGACCATTTGGGAAGGTGTCGAACGGTACTTATCGGTAAAATGCGGCACTAGAAGGTTTGGTCAAACGGATTCATCTTAGTCGTTTATCTATAGATTTTTACAAATGGTACCTTGAACGACGCATAATTAATGTACCTATACAAAATACAAAGAGAAATACAACAATAAATTTATTTGTACTTTTCCTGAGTTTCTAAAATATAGAATGCTATTGCACCATTATCCACATACGGCACTATGCGGCAAGATCGATATGATTGGTGGGTCTTCCCCTCCGCTAGGCCTGCTGGGAATCAGTTAGTAGACTGGGAGGAATGATTGCTATGAGGTGCAGCCCCAAAAGCCGTTCTGTCGTGTTCAGAGGGAATGGAAGGCCGACCATTTGGGATTGTGTCGAGCGGTTTTTTATAGGTAAAATGCGGCACTAGAAGGTTTGGTCAAACGGGCTCATCTTAGTCGTTTATCTTTAGATTTTTACAAATAGTATGCGCCGCAAACTATTGCAGATTTTGGTTATGATTAATTAGGCTGATGGCATTTACAGAGTTTTTAGTAAAGTATTCGATTCTGGTAGACCCGAGATCTTTCTCTCCAAAGAGAAACTCTCCAAACTCTAAGAGCTGTTTAAGATCGACAAACAAGCGAACGAAGACATTATCAACAATGAATACAGAGCACAACTCAAGAGCTACAAGAAGGAAATTCCGAAACTTCGGAAGTTGCTTTCAAAGTATCGCACTATACACAGTCAAATCAAGCTAGATGATAAACAGTGGACAGCGCTTAGTAAAGAAGCCCTAACAAGACTAATGGAATGCCAATTTCCAGGCTGCACCGAGAACACAGAAGCGAACATGACCTAGCAAACGAGAAATAACATCCACCGGCAGATCTGATAAGAGAACGTAAGCATAACAACACCTGGACTGGACGGAATATTCTCAGCCATGATGCAGGTGAACAAAAAGGTGATTAACCCATGGCAGAGTATTTCCCTATTCAATAGACAATCTCACGAGTTTTCTTCCTCCCAAGGGCAGGAAAGTGTAGCCTTATGATCCCCAAGCCGATAATTTGATAACCCTTACCTTCTTTCTATTGAAAACTTTGGAAAACCTGTTGGAGTTACACATCACGAATGATGTGGGGGACTGATGTCAAAAAATCAGCATGCTGGACTTAGACCCTTGAAAGTTTTAGACGGGTGTAATCAGAGTGGCGCATCGCTTCCATGGTAAAGGATCACATAGAGGTACACCTCATGGTGGTTCAGCATCAACAGATTTGAGAGAAGAGTCCCAAAACTAACAGCTTATTCAGATGACATAAGTAACGTAATGGGTACGGGCTCCACAACAGAAGTTACACACAGAAACATATGTGAGTGTATGATGGATCTTACCGGAAAGTACAGATATGGCTCCCTGAAAATGAAAAAAAAATTGGTTGAACTAAGTAGCCTTGTTGTCTGCGAAAGCGCAAGGGAGGAAAAAGTACACCAAAAAACAGAAGGGAAAGACCAGACCGCAGACGCGGAACGAGACGAGCGCACATACACCACCAACACCTTCTGGACAAAAGATACCTGTGGAACCGACTGGCCGAAGCTTATGTCCAAGCAGCAGAAGACGGACTACTTCACAAAAGCATCAGAACCGAAAAGCATGAAAATAGCATACCCATCATCGACAGTGGTCATACGGAGGGAAAGAATCGGAAATCCTGAGCGCCGTTGTTTGTGCAGACAACCCGTTTGTAAGCTGCTGTGGTATCGAGTGGTACAAGGGAGCCCATGCAGTGGCTTGTGGTAACGTGGAAACTCTTGAGTCTCTCCAAAGCACAGTTCAAGACTTTGGTAACCTTTGTCTAGGAGCGGCACTCTGCGTAGTCCCCACGGATCAGGATCCAAGGAAAACGATCATGAAGTGGTGGATCCCTCTTCCGATCGAAACGGACGTTGACACACTCGTCCTTATCAAAGCTCAAAGCCCGGCCGTGAACAGAGCGCAAGCCATAGTGAACGTCAAGGAACTCTGGTCAGGAAAGACTCGCTAAGCTCCTTGCTAGGAGCTGGCGCATATCCTTTGGCATGGGATGATAGGAAGCACCTTATGGGCCTCAATGCTACGAAGAGTACGGTCAAATCCGCCAACCCCACCTTGCCGGCTGCACAACCTGAACCTCCGTATGAAAGCCCACATTCCTGGTTGCTCGGATTTTACCGGCGGCGCAACCAGCGACGGAGAGCGAAAACAGGGAGTGGAAATTGACTATCTCGTACGAGAGACAGGACAAGACGTACCAGAGAAGATCACATGGGCCATTAAATCATTCAGTCCCTACAGAATAGCCATGTGGCATGCTTATACCTACTTGCACACCATGGCAACAGAGAATCTTTAAACTCCTAATGGATTTACACATAAGAACTGGGCTCAACGAACGATTGTTCGGCGCAGCTCAACTTTTGTACCTAAATTACAGATCAGAGGAGCCATAGAAGGAGCCTTCAGGATCGAGTCAACAATGGCCGCATTGGACAAGATTGGCACACACACGGCGGTATACAGATGGCTGAATCTGTTTCCAGGAGCAAAGTGATAACTGCTAAGCTAGAACTTCTGGAATCCGCACTTGGAACGACCGCTAGATGGGCACGCCAGAACGTTCCAGGGGTGAACCCTCAGAAAACTGAACTATGGCCGATCTCACAAAAATATAAGATACCTAGTTTCAAGCTACCCGCAATTGGTGGAATAAGACTCAAGCTATCGAGCGAAGCTATCTTCCTCGACTCTAAACTGTCCTGGAAACAGAACACCGAGCACCTCAGGGTTCAAGCCTTACAACCACGCGATTATGCTGTGTATGGAAGAGAGTGGAACAGTCGGGCGGAATGACTGCGTGCCAGAGCTTTCGTGGGATATAAATTATAGTGGGCATATATTGGACACGGAGTCAGGGAAGCGAAACACTGCCCTTAGGCAGAACGAGCTTTCTATCTTCACTGACGGCTCAAAGACAACCGAAGGGACGAGAGCTGGGATCTTCTGCGAAGATCTGTGGCTAATGAATTTTGGCTATCCCTATGTAGCAAAGACTTCTGTGCGTAGCTCATAACTTTTGAAGGTTTAATGTTTCCCGGCATACATGAGCTATGAGCATTTCCGTCTTCCGGTTCCAACATTACCGTTGTGGGACTAATTTGCGTTGAAAAAAAAGGCGTGGAGAAAACGCGTTCAAGTCGCAAAAATAAAGAACAAGTTTTTGGAACTTTTAAAATTTGTTTGGAGTATTATATTTGAAAAAATAAATGTGCATTAATCTTGTATCTTATTGTAATTTGAAGACCTTAATTTAGTTAGATTTATATAGGTTCGAAAACAGCATATAGTTTTTTAAATTAAAATGTCTTATAATTGTATACAATTTAAATATTTCCTTGAAAATTTTGCATTATGTTATTATTGCTTTTTGCATAGTTTTACTATTAAAATGTTTATGGAGATTATTATATTATCACATGATTTTCATATAGGCAAGAGATTTAAACAATTTTTTGTAACTTTATAAATTTTAAATTTCGTTGAAAGCTAAATAAATCATTGTTAAAATCCAATGTAATATCCATAGAACCAAGTAGTGGTTTTAAAATATTGAAAATACTGTAAAATGGTTATAATAAATATCAATAAAAGTTTTTATTTTTATTAGTTGCATTAAGTATTTATGTCCTTGTTTAATGCCTAAGTTTTTTATTGTGATATTATTTTAAAAGATTAACTTACAAGAACAAATTTTATGTAATCTTATTTTAGAAGTATTTTGGTATTAGTTTCTAATGATAAAAATGAATCAAATTTAGTTTTAAAGGATTAAACTTATATTTATAATATATAGGAATAATTAATTCTACACCTTTTATTTCCCCTTCTGCGAGAGTTAATAAATAAAACAATTTGTGTTAACGGGTTGCATTCTAAAACACGAATATTTTTGGCGTTTTATGTGAACTTCGCATTATTTTCACTGGAAACAAGATTAAGCGGTACAGTCAATTCCGCAGTTTCACAGCTGTCATTAAACGACGACAAGCAATTCGACTTTTTGCCTTTTAATAAAATGTTTTTGAGTGCTGCTGCAGTTTCGGTTTCATCAATTTCCTTTTTGCATTTCTGAAATGGAATCAAGAATGAATTTCTCAACTACGTTGTGTGTATCAGTAAACGATGGATTCGTTAAAAACCATTTTTAGAAAATGTAAAGCATTCAACAGAAACTATTACATACTTACATTTAAAACAAGGCCGGAAATGTTAATTGTATCTTGAGAATTCAAGAAATCAAGCTTCGTTTGTTCTATTGAAGAGCAAGATATTTGCTTTTGTTCTGTAAACAGAATAAGAAATGAAAATACCGTCTTGAATTATCTTATAGCTTATTTGAACGTATTGCGTTTGAATTAAGGAATTACATATAATCCTGCTCATCTAGTAACATACTTGCTTAGTTAATAAATACATTTGTAACAGTGGGATAACACAGGAGTCTGAATACAAAATTTGGTGGCACTAACCTATATAGTCTCTGAGATCAAGGCCTATACTACTTTTGAGTATCGGGTATAAAAGAATGTGAATGGTTTCGCATTAAGCTACCGGGTTGGAACTTCGCTACGAACGATAAAGCTGCATGGATATCTGGAGCTTCGGCTCTCAGCTATCTTTTCTTGTTTCAATAAGAGATTATCATTATCGTTCATAGTGAAGCTGCTTTTGAGGACAACGGTATGGATGCTGGCATTCAATTGAAGCATATGCTAAAAGCATGCATTGCTTTCTTTTAATTACTTACTTTTTTTAGATCTCTCCAATTCTTTAGGACGCCTGCGTCTAGTGTGTATAGTATCGCGTCTCATTGAATGTGGTCTGTTGATTCCGTGAAGCTTGAAATATAATCCACAGGCATTGCACACCATTTCTCCTCGAACACTTCGCCTCCAAATCGTGGTGGTGAGAGTTCCACAGTTAGAACATGACATGTCTTTTTGGGCGCCAGGTAGGGCATTAAAAATGTTGATGTTCTATAAATGTATAACTTAAATTAAAATATATATTTGCAGTTTATTTACAAGGTGCATACCTTTTTATCTTTTGTTTCTTCTGGCTCGAAATCTGAATGATTGTAAGTCTCTGTCCCCTTTTCATTATTTGCATCGCTGCAATCCGTTTTAGTGGGAAAACTTTGTTTTCTTCTGCATGTTTTCAATTTGCTGGATTGAGCCTCTGATAGGTCCTACAAAAAAAAATATATTTTTTGTTTTTTAACAAAAAAAGAACACCATCGGATTTCAGTTACCTTCAATAGCGCTATGGGTTCTTCAGGTACTTTTGTAAATGATACTGTTGACGGCACTGGAAATACGAAAGGCTGACTCATTATGTTACGTAGCATCTCTTTCGCATCTTCTCCCTTGTTTTTAGCTAAAAGGGTTGAATGGCATATTTAAAATCAGGCTGCTATGAAAATTATACCCCTCAGTATTTATTACATTTACATTGTCGTACTACTAGGAGAGTAAGTAAGTAACTCAGTTTTTCACGCAGAACTATAGAAATATAACTACATCTATGTGTGCCAAACTGACTGAGCATCGGGTATAACAGTAGAGTCACGGCCGTAGCTGAGACTCACAACGGGGAACGTTTTATAATGGAAAATGTGAAAAACCAGCAATATCTTTGAAACTGTTATACTTTCTCAACTTTCGACTGATGATAAATCAACAAAGATTTCAAAGAACAGATTTCAAATTAATTACCGTCCAAAAAGCATGCCTTCTGACATTATTTTGAGTCTGGGGTATTGTAGTCGATAATTCCACGGTCGGTTTCTCGACTTTGACTTTGAATGCCGGTTGATTGTCGTTCCAAAAAAAGTTGACGACCAGAAATAGGGTGCTGCTAAGCACACAAATGTGCTGTTGAGCGCACAAAATTGTTGTGCAGCGCGAAAAATACACAGGATTGCCTTGAATATTGCATCAGCTGTTTGCACTTTGTTTACTGTGAAGTTCCTTCGCTCAGTAGGAAGTATTTACGACTGCTATATGTAAAGGTATGCATTAGGGGAGAGTGTATGTTGATTACTTGAGTATTTCAAGACAGTTTGCCCTATGTGATATTTATAATTGAACTTACCAGCTGATCGTGCCAGAGCTTGCCAGAGTTGAGTGGTAGCTGCGTCGGTTGCGTGATCCGAGCTCACACTGTCGGGGGTCTTTCTATCGTTGATTGAAGATGTTATGTCCATTTCCAATTTGTGAGAGTCAGAACTGTCACCAGAATCTAATAAGGAACTGCTATTCGTTTTTACTGTTGGTGTATGTTTGTAATCTGACCCAGCACGTTGGGTAATGGTAATACTGTAGTTCTGAAGATCCTCTTCACTTCTATGTGACTGTATTGGAGTTTGGCAAAAATTGTTTATTGGGATTGAGTTTCTTTGATTCGAATAATCATTCCTTTTCTTTTTAACGGAAAGGTCAATTTCAACTCCTTCATACAAAGCATTCTTTTTTGATGGACGTTTTGATTTTATCACAGAACTTTTAATACTTGTATCAATAACTGCAGAACTACGTGGAGATTGAGGATTCGAGCACGGAGGTGAAATTACAATTTTTTTACTTATATCCATAAGAACTGCTGCAGTCTCCAGTTGCTGTTGCAAGCTTTGAAACTGTTCAATGTCAGAATCTTTGTGAAATGTTGAGTCGAATCGGTCATGTATTGGTGGCCCAGACATACATTTTGCTTGCGTTTTAATCTCATCACTTTCCATATTGGTTGATTGAAAAAGACTCGGATGTAATATATGGGTATGGGTTTGCATATCTTGAGTTCTACTCTCAAAACTTCGATCAAAAGTTGTCTGAAAAGTGGAATCTACTTTCTTTTTGTCGTACTTATGTTGAGAAAAAGTGCTGAGCTCAGTCAGGGCCTTAGCTGCTATTGCCTCCGACGAAGACTTTAAAACTGTATCAAGCTGCATTTCCAAATCGTTAGTGTCCTGCGAAAAATACAAATACGTTTGTCAAAGCAAGTTCAAATAAGTAATTGTATACAAGAGCCTTACGCGAATTTAATATTACCTTATACTCTATGAGTACTACATATAAAACAGAATAATACATATGATTAAAATAATATGGGGGGAGATATTGTCACTCGCAAAAAACTGTGCACTTGGTTTAAAGCAACGCCTTTAAGTTACGGCGGATTCATGAGGCTCTTGTTACCTTCCATAACTGTACAGACCTCAGACTGCTTGCTATGGGTAACGACAACTTGTAAAATTTTCACATTTAAGTACAGCACCGAAGAGCATCAGACTTGTTTCCATCCGAGGAGGAAGGAGGAAGTCAAAGTTCTCAGCTAGGTCGAGGTCGAGGTCTCAGAGGACGAGTCTTCTGGCAGCTACGGCCACGTACAAGTATACATTTCATCCTGGAGGGCCCCTGAAGAATAACCTTCTCGGGAACTTGTACTTGGAACCTGTGTTTTTCTTTTCCTACAACCGTTCATTACGCTGCACCCCAAATAATCTCGTTCGTCCCGAACGGTGGTGGTGCGGTCCGGAAAATACCATCCGAAAACTGAATCTCCTCGTGCGTCGACCGATTAGGTGGGTTGACGAGAGGACTCGGAACGTCTCGCTGACGGTGAGAGTGGCGACCTAACGTCGCTGGTAGTCTATTCCGTTTCTCTCGGGCCTCATCGGGTCATATCTCCGAACTTGTTACTTCAAGTCCAGTGTAAAGTAATAATGGGTCATAAAATTTAATTCTATTATGTTGTCGTCCGTCATATCGGTTACAATGAAATCGGGTTCCAGGTTCGTCTTCGTAATTCCAAGTTTCTTTGTAATTTTGCCCATTATCTCCACTTGTGGCTCTAGTCCATTCAAATGCTACACATTTCCATTAACTAAGCCCCTTTTATTTATTGAATGAGAAGCACCTGTAGCCAAAGTCAACGCACAATTTCGGCCAATTATGGAGCGGACGAATGATCAAACCCGGGATGGGATGTCAACCCAAACGTCGGTGACGGCGTTAAGATCCTCAAGGGTAATGACAACCCAAAGCGGCAGTGGCTGGTGCAGAAGGTGCTCCAGTTGGAAGCTCTGTGGGGGAGCTGATCCCTTCGATTCCAAAGGCAAAGGTGCTCTTCCCCATTGCAGGCCAGGGAGAGCGAGCACTGAAGCTGCAAAGGCAGAATCCAGACCTTCTAACTAAAGACGGAATCGGATCCTAATATTATTTCCTTACAATTTACCGTTTGTTATTGTTCACTGTCTGTCCCATTTCTGTGAAGGAGTTAGTGAGAGAGTATGTAGGAAGAGAGATGACTCGCTCAGAGAGGATCAAAAGGGACAAGATAAAGAGAGAGCGCGTCGAGAGTGTTCAACTGCGGCAATGTGTGGTAATCGCGTCGCAGACAATGACTGTATTAGAGGGACGAGTAGTTTAGTTATTATCTTTCCGCAAACCGGGTATTTTTTACTTCGGAGTGCATCTCTTTCAATATAAACATTTAAGGCTCCGAGAATTTATTTTATTTTGTCACGCAAAATATTTGTAAATATAGTTGTTTTTTATAAAGACTAAAGACGAAATGTAAAACCAACCGGACTACAGACATTTTCCTATAAAGGCCTTTAATCTAAAAATGAACTTATCTTAATTAAGATTACAACTTACTAGTTTTAGGGTTTCGGATATAGCTAAAAATTCTTTTAAAGCGTTGTGAGAGTTATGTGCCATAGTACGAAATTTTCCAAATGAATCCAATTTGGCTCGGCATTCACGACAAATTACGTTGGGAAACCCATCATTAGGAAATGGCTGAAAAAACATAATTTACATTAATATAATAAATAAATTTAGTTGTACGGTCGAAAATTGAATAACTTTAAAATAAGTTTTATTTCGTTCCACTCCACCAGAGTGCGCACACTGCACGAGGAACAGTGTGTGAGAGACACGGAATAAGTAAGCGCGTGGGTACGCTGTCAAAGCCACTGATTTTTCATTTGTTCCTCCTGGCCATAAATTAAGGTGCTTTAGCTTTAGGTGCTCCAGACAGTTTTTGCTTGCCGAAGAATCACAGCGACGCCTATGGACCCGAGTTACAAAGTTGAAAGTGGATGATGTCTATGGAAACGACCTCCGAAGGCACTCGGGGGAAGAGTGCCAAGCTGAGGACAGCAGAAAGCCCGGCAAGAAAGTTCCCGACGACAATAAAGAAGTCACCAGCGGCTCCTGTAGCCACATGTCAACCAAGAGATTGAGAAAGTAAAGTTCACAGCTGTAACACAGGCCCAGGAGGTCGCTTCACATCTTCTACACGAGATGTGAACCTCCACGAGGCCACATCTTCTCTACAGACGCCAACCAGGAGGTAATGGGAATGCCTCCAATCAAAGCTACGTCATAGAAGGCTGATTCAATATTAGACTGAAGTTTAATTGGCTTCCTACTCATCCGTTATTGTTATCGGACAAGCAGAACAGTTTTCCTGTTGACCAATGGACCCAGGCGGTGAATGTCCCAGGTCCCAGGTTCCAGGTCGAATCGAATGTGCTGATGATCCGTCTTAAAAGTTTCTGTAAACCTGTTGCAATGCCAAGCAAAGCGTATAAAAGGATTGACTCAGGGGTCAGTCGGTCTCGAGGCGTTCAGCAGTGAACCAATATACAGCAGGGTGAATAATTTACTTGTATTAAACCAGTAGAAACCACCCTGGGCTCGTACAATAAGCTCTTTGGGTGCTGGACGGCATATCAGTAGTGATGTTTCAAAGGTCAGTGCTTGACTGACTTCTTCCCCATACGTTTTTCACTGCTTCCCAGATACTATCTATAAAACCTTAGATGTTGAGCTGTTGTTTCAAGGGACGCCCACTTCCAATTGACGGATTCGATCTTCGAGCAGATCTTAAAAAGGATTTTCGAGTCGACTTTCCACTTTCCACCACGACTATCCAGACCCCGAACGTTTTCCTGGAGTTTTATTGCCAACGTTCGCCTATTTTTCTTTTATAACATAACCTTAATCCTTTATCTTCACGATAACCTGTTGTCGTTGATTCTCTTGATCCTCAAAAAGCTCGCCTTGATCTTACAACTTATCTTGACCTGTCGTACCTCTACTTGGTTTCTCATTTGAAACATCGTCTATTGCATCATCTTCATCATTCTCCATCTGCCGTTGGCCGCCGACGTCTGGTTCTTCTCAACTGTCGACCTGGAGCATTGCTTATACAAGAACTCGTAATCCTCTACATTGAGGCAGGTTCTCTCCAGTTCGGCTTTCAAACCTCTCGTTGGTAAGCACCGCCCAGCTAATTCCGTCTCCAGCTGCTCAGCTTGTAATTCTCTAAATATTTAACCAGCCTCGCAACTCCCCCTCTTTTTCTTCATGCTTGGCCATCTGTCATGATTATGATTAGCAATATTATTAATTTCGCTGCTATATTTCCCTTCATGTAGGAGCATCCTTTCTCTTTCCGCGATATATCTCAGAGCTATCGTAGGAAATCCATCACTGATCAATGACCAAGTTGTCCTGATGAACGTGGCCATTTGTTCACTGTTTAACGACACTATCACTAAAGAGAGCCATCACTAGAGCCATCCATCGTTCTTATTGGAATTATCATTACAAATTGGTGGCTTGGTCACAACCAAACACAAATGGTTCGCTCGAACTACGACTGGTTTGCAAACTCTTGTTAACAGACTTAAGTGGGAGTATATACCCGCTCCTAGTCGTGCTGATCTATATTTATAACTTTTGTGTTCGAGCTCCGATGATGGTTTCCAAGGTGCATTTAAAACTCCGACCAACTTCGAAATTAAACATTTCCAAGATCGATTCGGCCGCTAATTCTGATCAATAATTTACATGTATACATATATACATATACAAGTATGTATGTACACACGTACATACCTTACACTGTCGGAAAAGCTTCGTTCTGTGATTTTACAAACACCTGACTAAAATTAGAAGGGATATCAATATATGTATATCAATATGTAAGTGCATATGTATGCGTGTATGTACATACGAAACTGTGAATGAAATTGTTAACGCTGCATAGAATATGGGAATCCTACATCTCTTATTATGATTTGTGATGTCGTAATCACAAAAATAACACACACACAAATGTTTGAACACATATTAACATAATTCTGCTTCAGATTCGCACACACCACAGCAGATTTCTAACCGCATGTACATATGAGTACGCAATTAATGTATATTTGTATTTGTGTTTGTATTTGTGCTGAATTGAAATCTGCTTACCTTAATAGAGAGACAGTTGATTATCTGAAATGTAATATGTGAGGATGAGTCATCTCTGTGCTCTTGGCTGTAGCTATTAATTGTATGAAGTGATTGGCATAAATTTGATTTTAGTTTATCGGGAACCAAATCATCTTGATCGAGTAAACGGTGCTCCATCTGAATTTCCGAGTTTGTTTTTGTTCGTTCTATTTTCTCTTGATTCAGTGTGGTTTGCTTTGACGACTGATTTTTTAATACTGAACTACCGGAAATTTCGGGCTCCAAAAGCGTTGAATATTGTTCACTACCGCACAATGTGGTTGTTTTGTCTGCATAAGGCACACTCGGTGTGTATTGTGTTTTATGAAGAGGTTTGCTTTGACCCGTTTCATTATTGGTCAAAATCACTGATAGCAGGTTATCATCTACACAGCTGCATACATTTGGGCTTGGAGCATTGCAGAAACATTTATAAGACTTTTTTTGTTCATTTATCCCTTCGTTTTTATGGTGGTCGAATTTGTCTTTTTTATTGTTTCGTGTCGGGATATTATAAATTTGTAGTTCGGATATATCGCACTCATTAACCAACGTGAGACACAATCGACAAACTTGATGAAACTTGTGTGGTACATTATACATAATTAAATAGTTATATGTATATGCACTTCTTAAATAAACTTTCATATGATTTCTCTTATTTAGAGATTAAAAACGATAACTTTAAAATAAATTATAAAATGAATACAACACTATTCCTCAATTTTTCATTGTCACAATACAATCCACGTTCAGTTAAGTAAAAATAGTTCATTTTAGTGGTTCATTAAAATGTTGATGTTCAATTGAGCTGGTTTCCTCTCTTTTTACGCTTGAGGGAACACTATGATGTATACGGAAGTACGACAGTGCATAAAGGGCACTCTCGAAAGTGTTGCGTCGCTGAACTTTAATCAAGAGGTTAATAAAACGTACATCGTTTTAACAATTAAAATACCTATTTTGTCTTTTATATTTTTAGCACAATAATGGAAAAAGAAGAATACATATATTGATGCAAAGGACTTTATTGTTGTTAACAAAAAATTCAACGAAGGTGAATATCCATTATGAAACATTTTAAGCAATTTTTGGCACGTAGACGGATGAATGTATCTAAAATTATAAGGCTTCATCAGCCCATTTTTCTTTGATAGCTGCTAGAGTAAATTGGTCGCAAGAAAATTAACCTCCAAAGACGAAGTACATCAATGTTTTTTATGTTTAACATTATTTTCCCACACAGCACAGCTTCGGGGAACGGTGGAAATTTTTGACAGATGTGAAACCATCCATCGAAAAAACAACTGATAACAATGACCATAAAAAGCTTTTTACTGAATTGTGATATCTCACAAGACCACTTAATACCGTTATTTTTTGGAAGCCCTTAACAATTGCAACAGCTTTGTTTGGAAGTTAGTTTGTCCTAGGCTGCTCGCAATTTACTGGAGTATCCCTCGTTTGATAATTTCTGCTGCTCCTTTTGCACTTCCAGTATTTCCCGCTCAATCTCCAGAATATTGTCCAGTTTTGTTCCTTTGGGGGGGTGCCCAATCGCAGAATGAACGCGAGGGCTTCAGTTGATTCTGTCCTGGAAAATACCAAGTGCAAAAACGTAACAGCTTTTGCCAAAAGTCAAATTTTAAGAATGGAGATTTAAAAGTTGCGTTGTTGTTGAAGGAATTGGTTAAGCGGTTCTTACCGATGACCGGTTTAATAGCCGAACTGCAGTTGCGGTTGAAACTTGCAATGGAGACAACAGTTTTTGGATAAGGAAGGCTGCAGATAATACAACGAACGATCTTACAGCTGAAGAACCATGCTTTGCAACAGGAACATATGCTGTTTCAAATGAGAAAAAAGCAGAATGTTGTTGCAATCCGACTCCTAACTTAAGTCTCACACCCAGTCGGATGGTATGGGGGAACGTTTTAGCAGAACTTTAGAGGAATATAGTGTAGAGCGGAGAGGAGTGTCGTCGACACAAGTCAAAAAGATTAAGATTAAGTACTTCAATATTTTTAATGGCATATCGCTCCAAAAAGCATGATACAACAGCGACCGCTTCGGATTGGACGATTGGCCCAACTGCAATAGTTGGGAACAATTTAGGACTTCCGGCTGATTTGAAATTAGCCAAGGCACTAAAGTTTAATGGAACAAATGGTGGTGATAGACGCGACTCACCAATTTATAAGAAGTCGCAATAGAGAGTGACAGAACGACAGCCCCATATGATCTGAAGGCGAACACCGAAGACTTTCACGATGGCGACTTGGTTCTGTTTTATAATCCACAGAGGAAGAAGAGTCCATTTTTTCTTCTTGTTATCTTGTATTGTTATCTTGCGGCACAGAAAAAAGTGGCAGGTCCAGCTAGTTTAATATAAAAGTGGAGTCTTAACTGTTTATTGTTGGCTTAAATATTAACCTACCGAGATAAAATTTTCGGGTGTTTTCCGTGTTTTGGGAATTCCCAATGTCTTGCATTCGTCTTTGAATGTGTGGGAATCGATTTTGTAGAATATTCATATATGATATATATGTATGTATTGCGTCGGAAACGCTTCCTTCTGGGTGTTACACACACCCCCTTTCACCAAATATATAATATACCTCTATACTGTTTGAGTATAGGGTATAGTGATATATAATTAAATGCTGTGGTATGAAAATTGGGTTGTACGGATGGTTGTGTCATACTTACTCATCAAATTGGAAATCATTTATCGCTTTCTGATGCGAATGCAAAGAACGAATGAGGCAAGCCCCCTTTCTACCTCGGGCAGTACGAAGAATGTATGTGATAGAGGGGAGAGGGGGAGTAATCGCGTGCGGAGTAGCGTACTCATTGCTATTTCATTTTTTCCTTTTGGCTATAATACTGATGTGATCTGATGCAATCTGGTATACTTACATATATGGTCATTCTCTATGACTTTGCGGTTTTGTTTCGTATCTTGAAAATTGTGGGTAGCACAGATTTTCACCCTTTGTGTGGGTGGTAGGAGGGGATGGTAACAGAATTTTGAAACAAACTTGAATCAGTGTGATATCACAGGAGTCTGCACACAATTTGGTTGCTCTAGCTTTTATAGTCTCTGAGGGCTAGGCGTTGAAAAGGATGGTTAGATGGACGGACAGACTAAATATATTTTATGGGTTCGTTAACATTTACTCCTGGGTCTTACACCCATTCACTTCCTCCAAACATCTAATGCACATCTATACTCTTTGAGTATCGGATTTAAAAATCGTTTGCCGGTTTATTTAGAGCTATAGCAGATATTGACCTAACATTTTGAATGTAGGTGTTGATCCGCCGCGAAAGATGCCAGCCAAATTTTTGGGACGACGGTCGTGGCGTGCTCGACATTCCGGAGAACTAAAATTGATCCATGGACTCTTTACATGTGTAAGAGGCAATTTCCAAAAGAAAATCTCTTACAACCTAAAGAAGGACAATCCTAGTGCACTAAATAAATATACCCGTCATCAATGCAGAAAAGACACCCATTTTTGGAAGATATCTACGTGCGAGTAATAGAAACGTAAAACATCTCTCATCATATTATGATTTATTTACACATATCTGGATCAACTTTTCATAATATAATCTATATACAAACATTAATGCAAAGAGCTTTGCTCCTGAAATGCTCAAATCTAAATTATTTAAATTGCGTTAATATGCAAGGCCATATTACAAGTTCGAACTTAAATCCAATACAGACAATGCTTCGTCCTTTTCTTCTTGCAACTCCTTTGCAGTTATATTTAACTTCGCTTTAGCAGCATCACTTAGGTTTAAACCCTGGACGATTTTCCATTGCTTATTTTCAATGACAACTGGAAAAGAGAAAATAACGTCCTTTGGAGAGTTATAGCTGCCATCCGAACATACACCCATTGATACAAATGTTCCTGGAGCGGTACCGTTCCACCAGTCATGCATATGATCGCAAGCGGCTTTAGCTGCTGACATAGCGGATGACATTTTTCGAGCTGAAATTACAGCAGCTCCACGCTTTTGAACAGTTTCAACAAAGGCACCTTGTAGATATGCATTATCATTGACAGCATCAGCCACAGATTTGGTTTCACCATTGATAACCACTTTTCCTTGTCCAGCATCTGGGTATTGAGTGGATGAATGGTTGCCCCAGATTATTATGTTCTTAACGGCGGATATGGGAACTCCCAACTTTGTAGCTATTTGCGAGGTGGCGCGATTTTGATCTAATCGTGTCATTGCTGAAAAATTTTCACGTGGAATGGATGGCGCATAGTTAGCGCAAACAAAAGCATTAGTGTTGGCCGGGTTTCCAACCACAAGAACCTTAACATCTTTTTTGGCAAAATTTTCAATAGCCTGTCCTTGTGCTTTAAAAATTTTTACATTTGCTGATAGCAAATCTTTTCTCTCCATTCCTTCTTTACGTGGCATGGCGCCTACAAGAAAGGCGGCCGAGACATCCTTGAACCCAACAGATGGATCTGTTGTAGGTATAACTTGACGTAACAAAGGCAACGCACAATCCGCTAGTTCCATGACAACACCCTCAAGAACGCCAACCATAGGCGGAATATCCAGTAAATGCAAGATAAGAGGCTGATCAGATCCAAAAACTTCTCCTCGTGCGATCATGTACAGCAAGGAATAAGCAATTTGACCAGCAGCTCCAGTCACAACAACTCGAATTGGTTCAGCCTAAAAAGATAAGAACCAGATTGTTTATTTAGATAAAAATAATAATTATGCTATGCAAGTTTACAAGAAAGTGCAGACTTCCATAAATGTTTACTTAATTAATTTCTGCTCAATGAGAGGTAAAAGTGCCGATGAAATGGATGGTAAAATCATAGATTGAAAAGCAAAATTACAGATTATTACAGTGGTTATTAAACCACTCAAACACTCTACCCTATATTGGACAACAAAAAATCATAAAAAGGTTGAGGTTAGTCCACAGCAAGCTGACTAGTACCCACTTTAGGGTCAAAATCCTATCCACCACATGTGGACCTCAGACCTCATATCAAATGCACTTGTCCCTCACTCGTCCCTTAAAGATACTCATCATTTAATAATTTAGATCCCGTTCAAATTGAAGCTATCCCACCATCAAAGAAATGCTTTCAGAAATACATAGAAAAATCACAGATCATCTATAATACATACCTAATCGAAATTGTAAATATTTCAAATATTGTGACCATTGCTCCATATTTCAAAATTTAATTTCTCATCAATATTTCGCAACTATGGCAGCTACATATATGACATAAAGGACCGATTTTGACAAAAATTTGTACCTCAACATGTCGGCATTAAAGTTCACCCAATTTTCGCAACATTCATTTTGGATATTGATCCAAAAATCATGCAGGATTCCCTAAAGATCTTTATTGTTCTTTTGTTTCCTATTAGAAACAGATACATTTGTACTTTAACTTCATCCCGAACATTTTCAACGGGGTTCAAATCTAGGGACTGAACAGGCAAATCCATGAAATAGAGACAATTCTTTGTGTACCACTTTCTAGTATGTTTTTAGTCATAGTCCTGATGGTAGACTCAAAACAACGGCTTTTCGTGTTCCGCATGAGGCAGCATCAATGTTTCTAATACATTTTTTGTGCCATGTATTGGATCACCTTCCTAATACAAAAATCATGCCCATACCATGATGCTTGTTCCTCTATGTTTTCATGGTTTTACAAGTAAGTCAGGGGTTTGTATTCTGCATTAAGTAGTCGTCTCAAACAAGACCAAGGCCCTTTTTCACAAAAAAAAAAGAAATGTGGGCTTGCACGGACCATAGGATGTTTCTTTGGGACAATTAATTGCTCTTTTGCATATTGAATTCGATTTTCCCAATGCCTTGCAGTCGGAATTATATTTTGTAGCAACCCATAGACATATACATACATACATATATGTATGTAGCTGTCAGATAATAGCTTAAGTGAGCAGAGTGAGCGCACCCTGCTGGCTAAAAAGGCTCAGTTCTTAATTTTGAATGCATCTTTAGCTCAACCCCTCTAGTAGCTATAGTGTGCGCGAGGCTTATGTTCAAGCCCCTACTTAAACTCAAGCTAAGGTCGGTACACAGTACCCCGCGACCGTGCTTACGTTTTAAAAGATAACGGAACCCCCTCCGAATCCCCCCCGCCGAAACATTATACAATATCATGACACCAAAAATTAAAATTTTGATATGTTATGATATGTGTCTAAAAATGTTTCGAGTGTTTTGTTGTGCCCATTATAAAAATGAATATACTTTGGAAAGAGAAAATTTAATTTGGAAAAATTTACAGTGTCAATCAAGTTATGACGTTTTTTATGAACATGATAGAGGGCGATTGAAAGTTAAATTTAATAATTCTTTCTATGTACATGTATGTGCATATGTATAAACGTCTGGAAATATGCATGTACAATAAATTTATTAATATTTTAAATTGATTCGATTGGAAAAATGCATATAATGCGATTATTTATAGAAAATAGAAAGAGAGTTCAATATTTGATTTCCATCTTACCATTTTTACACTTTATTCTTTCTCTACTGACACTTTATTAATGCTTTTCCCCGACTGGATAATAATGGATTGCGCTATCGGTACAATCGATAGTTGGGCCACCAACCGATGGAGCTGAAATTTTTACACATCATAATTTTAAGTGCCAGGATGATCAGGCATGTTGTTGTTTTAACTTTCCAAAAACTGTAGTACGCAGCGCCGATAACCCGTTTTAATTCATAACAAATATTACAAGTCCCGTTTCAAAACTTAAACTAAGATGAATCAAGATGAACAAAAAACAACAAAAATCACAATTCTACTGTACAATTTGAAACCTAATATTAATTATATTTTCCAATAAATAAATTCGTACATTCTTAGTTTTTAAAGAATACAAATAATCTGTTATGTATTCCATATTTAGAGATTCCGTTGTACAATACTCGATCGACAAGAAAATGGGACTTCAGAGTCACTCCTGTACTATTGAAGATCGTAAGTGTTTCTGAATTGAGATAAATCATCCGAATTTTTAATGTCTACATTAAAAAAGATGGAACCACATGAGAAAACAGAAATCGAACAAACCATTTCATCCGGTGCCGTGGGAGCGTACGCTGAAAGCTCGCATTCGACATTTTCGATGTATGAACTGAAATATCGATATACTGTGTGGTTAGTGGTGATATTTTGTATATATCGGTGTACGATAAAAGCATCGATATATGATTTAGTTGTGTTTATAATTTGTAGTAAAGAAAACCCTAAATCGTAGAACTATAAAAAGTAAGAAATTACAGGTGAAAAATCGTAAAGCAATATCTATGCAAATTGAAATGAAAGTGCTGTCGTCCATGACCTCTTCCAGTGTTAACTTATCTGTTGTTGGATGTTTTGATACAAATACAATTAATTGCTAATATTTTTGTATCGCACTAATAAAAACAAACAACTTTCTAAAATATCAAGGCATAAGAAAGATTTGTAAATAATAATATGTAAAATACATATGCAAGCCATATATACCAATAGCTTTCAATAGCTTGTTATGTACAACTAAATATAAAAGATCTGAAAGGTAAATAATTGTCTCATCCTGCCGTGCCGTCTATTCTGATACTGCCGGTACTCGGGTGTTTTGAAAATGAATTTGGTGTTCCCAGAAATAATGAATAATTGACTGTAGAGTTTATTCTTAAAAACTGACAACTATTTGTTTCTTGTTAATTGAATCAAAACGAAGAGTAAGCGCCACATTTATCCATATACCCTTATCATTCATGTCATATTAAACTTGTACGGTTAAGTAGAACAACAAACATTTATTATTGTTTTGTTCGATGCCCTTTTTAACCATGTTATTAGGAGTAGCAGTACTACAGAAGTAAAAATTGAGTCATAATAGTTTCTTCACGTATGTAAATTCTTGATAGATCATTACAAGTTCCTGATAAATTGATTAAGCAAGTGAGACGGGTGTTGGCGAACGATCTAAGCGAGTTCTTAAGGGTTTTCCCCCTAGTATATAACTGTATATTCTATTGATTCTATCTCGATTGATTATGATTTGCATCCAATCCAAAGGACTTCGCTTATAAGCAATTTTTCCCATTAAAATTCGAGAGTTTTGCACTGTTGTGTTTCGCGTAACTCTCGTTTGCGATATCGTTTACTAAATTTTGTTTATTGTGAGTTCACATATACTCGAATAATAACTGAGATTTGGGTACTGTAGTGTAGTGGCGACTCACCGACTCTTTTTTTTAAGTCTGATTGAATTCCAATTAACTAATATTTAATTGATTTTTGTGTGCATTATTTTTATGAATTGATCTGGATGAAGATTTTCGCCCCGAAGTTAGCTGTCCTTTCTTGATTAGAAATCTTTTCAGAAGAAAAAAAACAAAAAAGAATGCTAAACAATGCTAACTAAATGGTTTTTTATATATTATTTATAGACTCAAAATGAATCAACCGTTACTGAAGGAGGAAAGTATGCAGGACGAATCCTTTTGTGTTGAGGTTTCGAAAGATAATTGTGGCGAAACTACTACCGAACCAATTGCGGAAACACCTTTTGTAGATTTTTCTATAGAAGAAATAAATCAAGTTGAAGTGCAAAATTTCTCTAATACCTACAACAGTACTGAAGAATTGTTAAAATTTCCTGCAAAAGAGCATCGACGTAAAGAATGTACTTGGTTGAAAAAAAGTGACACAAGCTTTTCAGACGCATTGAGCGATCATAACTATACATCACAAGAAGAGCTAAAGTGTCGACAATGCCTGGATTGTGTTGAAAATATGCTTCAAAATCTTATTTTTCCAAATAGAGCTGTATCTGAGCCTGTTACAACAGACATATCGAATTTCATTGACACCACCATACAAAAAATAAAAACTTTTAATTTAGAATTGGATGTAACGAGTGAAAAAAAATGTACTGCAGAGTTAAAAGAGTACTGTTCAGAGCCCTTGGAAGTCGAGCTGAATGACCAGTACCTTGAAAAAGGTACAAATTATGTGAAAAAAAAAATTGTCCTTAAACCAATTTTAAGAGCCACACTAAATTTAGCAAAACAGTTAATAAATGATTGTTATGCGCACACTTCAAAATCTGAAGACGAATTTAAAGTGATTTTATTAAAAAAAATAAAAAAACTTCACGAAATTGCAACCATTGGAAGTACGTCTTCATGTCAAGCTCTAGAGAAGCCGTTCAATGGATCAAAGATGACGAAACATCAAAAAAACCATAAAGCAAAAATGAGACTACTTTTAGATACATCTAGTTCATTGAGTTCGGACTCCGAATTAAGCTCCGAAAGTAGCTCGGACGATCTAAACGAAAAATCTTCAATTGAATGTAGTTCCCGACTGTCGTCAATAACTCACTGGAACCATTCAAGTGAAAACAGGAATTTGCTTTACGATTATAATGACGGTGTTGATCTTTCCAAATATATAAAGCTGGATGTAAATAATAATTCAAATTTGTGTGGGGGCGATAAAAAAACTATAACAATTACGAAATCATATGTATCGGACAACGATACTGACCAGGAAATCGACAGGTTTGTATTTGAACCAAACCGAATTTTTGTAATAGATTAAGGGCAAGAATTAAAATGTTAATATTTTCTCTACAGACTGACAAATTTGAGTGCGCTGAATACCCGTCATGGCCATAAGACTTGCACCAAATCAAAGCAAAAGAGTCACCAAAATTTGTTTCAAAAGAGTATGGATAAAAAGGATAATGGCTCTGGAGAAGACATGGACCAATATGAAAGTGATACCATAATTGAAGTGAGTATGCACGAGGTCAAACTTTTTTACTTAATCTTACAAATAATACAATAATTTTTTTTCACTTTAGAACGAAGATTGTATTACCGAGGGACAGTTTCTTTCGCGTTATAACGAACAAATCAAGATTCAACTGTTAAATGATTCAAGTAGTGATTCAGGATTGTCAAATCAAAGTGACTACGATAATTCAAAGGAACTTTTGTCAGAAGAAAGTGATAACATAAATAATACTGTAGACAAGTTCTTGCGAGATTTTAGCTCGGATAAAATAGATCAAGTGGAAACGGACGATGCTCTTGTTGCTGACAAAGAAATTCAACTTGACTATAAGCGGTCAGCGAAAAACGCAGACGTGTTTGTCAAAGAAGATGATCAAAAAAGGTCAAAAAATACATTAACAGAATCGGGAAAGCACAATAAACATGAAGAAATCGTTCTAAGCTCGGAAAGCGATTTTTCGGATGTTGAAGCTGATCTTCAAAAATCAAGATTGATAAAACCAATGCTTCGAATTGATCAGCTTGCCAATGAAACTAGAGCTGCACAAAAAACCGAAAGTGAACGTATACGACGCCTTGAAAAGAAACATTCGGAGCTTAGCAAAGCAATTAAAAAGAATTCTGAAAATATAAATAAGTCAGAGCTAATACTTGATTACATCGAAAGCACTAATAAGTTTATTAAAGTGCATTGTGATATAGTTAAGCAATTAAAGCCGCACCAAATCGATGGTATTAAATTTATGTACGATTCTTGTTATGGCGGAGTGGATCAAGCCAAAAAGAATGCTGGCTCAGGATGCATTTTAGCTCACTGCATGGGCCTGGGAAAGACTCTACAGGTAAAACGAATATTCAAAATTCAAAATTTGAGCAAACATTAATACAACAAACAAATATTTTTTTTAGCTCATCGCTTTGCTTCACACCGTCATATCTTACAAGGAACTAAATACAGCGAAGGTCTTGGTACTCTGTCCAAAAAGCACGGTCATGAATTGGGCTGACGAATTTCATTATTGGCTGAGTCCTTTGAATGTAAAAAGTCATTTAAAGGTTTTCATTTTCCCTGATTCATCGTGAGTTTGATTTTTTGTATAATTATGTATTTACATACATTCATGTACTCCGAGGCATTATTATTTACTTTATTTTATTCTTACTTATAACATTTTTAGTTTGCCCAATATTTAATATTGGAACGGAATATTAATAATAATAATAATAAGTTAACCAAAATATTATAGCCTTATATACGAGGAAGCCAAAAAAAAAATCCAGAGCTGTGGCACATTTAAATTCACAAAATAATTTTCTGACTCACGTCTTCATATATTTCATTGATTTTCATTAGGGATCTGAGAAAGATCCACACTTGAATCTGATCAAGGGCTACATTCCATTTTATATATTTCAACCAATTTCCAGTTGCTATTGCCAGTTTTTGGACTTCGGGTTAAGATTTATCGGACTGAAATGTTACATGTTTATAACGGTATTATTGAATTGAATCTTTAAATGAATGAATACAAAAAACTAAATCAGAAACCTGTAACTGTTACCTATCCGATGTTAAAAAAGGTCACCGATAATCGAAAAATGATAGAACTCCATACCGGATACCGATACCTAACACGTTTGATTTTTCTGGCAAGAACAGAGGACAAACAATAAATATGTGCCGAATTTAAGTTACATTAGCTTCTAAATTAAGCTTCTAAAAACTGTACACAACTTTTTGAAATTCCAATTATCTTAAAACTTACTCTTTTATGTGTACTTTATAAAGTGCTTCGAGGTCCTTGCATCTTTTCGCTTTCTAATGCATTATTTATACTTATATTTTTAGGGATATTGCAGAAAAGCTACGGGTATTGGAAGAATGGTCATTATCGTCGACTAACAAAGCGGGCTGCTTATTAGTGGGCTACGAGGCATTCCGTTCTCTTGTCTTTTATCACTCGTATAAATATCGAGGGAACGTGACTTCTTCAAAATTAGAAAATGTTCGCGAAAAAGTTCAAAAATACCTTTTAGAGCCGGGTAATTATTTATTTATAAGAAATTAATTCCAAAATGGTCATTATTTGTATCTTAACAGGTGCCGATTTAGTCGTTTGTGATGAAGGACATATTATTAAAAACAGCAAATCTGCCATAAGTCTTGCTGTATCAAAAATTAAAACGCCAAGACGAATAATATTAACCGGAACGCCAATACAAAATAATCTTAAAGAATGTAAGTTTTTCGTAGAATTAAAGTGTCTCAAATTGATCCCTGTCCGGTATTCTCTGAGTTTTACTGACTTACATTTAGGTTCTTTTTTTAATTTTACTGTATTTTATTTATTGAATCTTCTCTTTTGGAGACTAGCAAGTAGGAAAATCTGGATATAATATGTTTATTTAATTAATTATTTAGAGTACTGCCCTAGCTATTATTTCTGGGCGGGGAGGTCTTTTCCCCGGAGTCGTATATGTCATCAATATTTTATGAATGTTCTTTGGAAGTAATATTTAGATTTTTTGAATAAAGCCATCCAGCAGAACGCGGTCGAAAGCTTTGCCGCAATCTAAAAAAAACAGTGCAGCATTACTCTAGTCTTTCAAATTCATTTCATATATCAGATGTTTTACTGCTTGAATTCCAAATTGGTGCATCGGGCATCCAGACTCCTGTGATATCACGCTTTTACAAGTGTACAACCATTTGACCAATTAAGTAATTCTTTAGGGATGCCCACGAATATACAATAATAATAATTATAATAATAATATATTTATAGATTATAGCATGGTAAACTTTATAAAACCATTGTACCTTGGAACTGAAAGGGAGTTTGCAAATTTATATGCAAATCCAATAAAGAACGGCCAACACAAAGATTCCAGTAAAAAGGATATTACAATAATGAAACAGCGATCCTACGTGTTACACAAGAAATTATCAAAATTTGTTCAGGTAACTACATTTTTTATTTTATTCAGCATTGATGGTCAGGACATTGTTAATCTTGTGCTACTGTGAGGTCGAGGAGTTTTTATAACGCATCTTTAATATGTTTATTACACACTCGAAGTTTATACCGGGTACTCAAAGAGTATAGATGTCTGTAATAGTGATTCCAACACCTCGTCACAAAACAGGAAGGGCATTATTGATTTTCAAACCGATCTTTTTTATGGAGCTCTATGGTATATTGGTGATTTGATTTTGAAAACTGAGTGACTAGTTTGCATAGAAAGAGACCATAAATGCTGATTAGTATATCTTATGAGTTCTTAATGTGCTTTAGGAACGCCTTCCTCGCAAGAAATCGACTTGAACGTGGGTTAAGTTGCGGCTAATAAATGTTCTATAAATATGGTGATCAAGTTTAATATAGTACTTTTTTTCTTTTATTTACAGAGGAAAGAGGCAGAGTTGCTTAAAACGTTTTTGCCACAAAAATTCGAGTATGTTTTATTTATTCCGATGACGTCGGTTCAGGTACGTAATTATTTATTCCTTTTTGATTGTCGAACAATATCTTTACAATTAGCTTATTATTATTTTTGTATGTCTCTATGATATTAAATCAATTCTAATGGTTTCATGATTCTAAATGCAAGCTTTTCAGCTTATTCAGGAAAGCCGAGTAAAAAATACTGAATAATTCTGAAAATTCTCGAATTCTCTTGCAAGAAGCAGTACTTCGTTTATTAGTAGTATATTTTTTCCTGAATATATTTTAAAAATATACAAATATATAAAGTATACAAACATAACGTGCATTACTTCTGTATTTAATATCACTTTAATGAAAGGTTTACAACGAATTTATTTATAGAATATACTTTATGAACATATATTGGAAGCAATAGGAAACCGCGGCGACTGTCGAGGCAAAAGCCTGATAACAGATTATACTGTTTTAAGAAAGGTAAGTTTAATATGTTGGAGATGATACATGCTAATCATTTTCTTCCTTAGATATGGACACATCCTAAGGTATTAGAGGACGCATGGAAAAATGCTACTATCGTACGTAAACAACTTATTGATTACTGCTCTTAAAACCATCTTATAACGTATAACTATTGTTTTTAGCAAAGAAGCAAAAAAGAAATTAAAAAAATCCCTTGTCCGAACTCCGAAGAAGATCAACCAGATGACATCTATGACAGTCAAACTGGTGTTATGTCTGTAACTAATGATTGGTGGCGCAGGTATCTGACAAAATCAGATCTGGAATCTGTAATTCCTAGTAATAAACTCCGGATAATGTTTTCCATTCTTCGAATGTGCGAAGAGAAGGGCGAAAAATGGTGAGCAGTTGCACAGCTACAAATATACCTATAAAACAGACAGCCAAGACTCTACCTAGGCAAAACACCATCTAAATTTTTTCTTTAAAAACTATACATATAGTTTTTATAAAAATAAACATTTGGCCGTATGCGAGAGAGGACTCTTTTCATGCACGCTGCTTTCTAACAACGCCTTGTTACTTGTTGGAGTCTTGCGAATTTATCAGGTCGACTCCTACTCGCACTGTGCCCGTGCTCCCTTTGCTTCCAGATAGTAATGAGGACAGATTCCGTATTGTAGCCGGTCAGGATCAGACCGGCTTCTAGCATTCAACTGGCTCCTTTGTTTTCGGCTTTTTAAAGGTCAACGTCGATTCGCTTGGTGGGTCGCTAAAGGTGAACTCCACACCCACTATTATGTGAATGGAAAAGCCCTTAAACTGAAAATTGATTGCTGTGCTAACACTTAAGTAACTTAATAGTCGCATGCCCATGAAACAATATGCATATTTTGATCGTTATTAATTTTCCACTCTTTCTTTCTTTCCAGTTTAATCTTTTCCGCTTTTGTGGCAGTACTCAATGTTGTGGAATACTTTTTCAAACGGATTACGGAGTCTGATCCCGAACTGTTTTACCTCGCCCGTAAGCTCAGTATACGCTAAATTTCATATATTATGACTAATAATAATTAATTAATTGACATCAATCTAAATTTTTCTGATAGACTTGGGGCTCCAATATGTTTTAGTATATTATAATTATATTATAATTAGTTTTAAACAACTTTGCAATTTTGAAAGCTTTCAATTGGCCTAAGAATATTTAAAGCTTAATCTAGAAGTTAATAGATCATATATACTTTTTACGAAATATTACTCGAATAGTTTGCAGACTCTGACAAACTTTTTGCATTCCAGATGTACCATCAAGTCATAAACCCTCAGGAAAATGGATCAGTGGCCAGGACTATTACAGACTGGATGGCAGAACACCTAAAAACATACGACATGAAATGATCAAACGATTCAACAGTGAAGTTAACAAACGTGCACGCGTTTTTTTAATATCTGCCAGGGCTGGAGGCCAAGGAATAAATCTAATTGGAGCGAATAGAGTTATAATTTTAGATACCTCGTGGAATCCCTCCAATGATCAACAAAATATATTTCGAGTATTTCGTCTGGGGCAAAAAAAAAATTGCTATATATATCGTCTAATTGCAATGGTATTGTAAAATGAGCCATGAAACTATACAGCTATTTTCATTTTTACGTTTCTTATACTTACAGGGCACAATGGAAGAAAAAGTTTACTCTCGATCTGTTACAAAACAAGCTATGAGTTTTCGAGTAGTAGATGAACAACAAATAGATAGGCATTATAACATGGAGGAATTAGCAGAACTTTATACGTAAGTAATGATTTATTTATGAAGCTAAACTAAATTTGTCTGAATACTGAATATTCGGTATTGAACAGACATCCTAACAGCCAGAAGGAAGCGTTTGCGACCCCATAAACTACACAGTATATGTATTCTTTATCAGCTTTAATAGTAGAGTCGATATATATAGTCGATTATTATTGCCAGAATCAATAAAATAATAATGTACATACATTGTAGATCAGTTATTTCTGATCTACCTCATTGCTCTTTATAGTTAAGTTATTCCATTTAATTATCATCAATACCACATTGCCATAAGTTCCATCCTGGGAATCGAAATTGGTTTCATTGATATCTTTGGAGCCTATCTTGTTTTGGAAGTGACTAGTAGGCACCGAATTTCTCCATGGTTATCCTCCATCGATGTCGAAACCATCATATCGATGGTGTGTTCTTGAACCTCTTCATCGCCCGAGAACGAAAATTTTCCTCTGGAGTCGATTCCCTCGGCGGTACAACTACTGACAGGGTATTTGCGCGACCGACGCGGTGGTTTTGCAGCTTCATTTGCTTGCGTTCTTGCACACACGATGTGCAGTAAATTTAAATATATATCTATATAAGATATATATGCTTTCAGATATGTGTCGCACCTTTCAGTCGTGTCACTGCGCCACTCAACTATATATAGATTTAATTTGCGAGTCCATCCTGGGGCGCCATGAAGTTTTGAAATAGTTTTTCCAAATATAAAAAATCTATACTGGTGGCTGCAAATTTTTTATCTTTCAAGCGACGAAAAACGCAAAGTACTTGCTTTCGATTTCAATTATTTGTAAGGACCTCTTCCTCTTCATTTAATTAAATCTTAAGCCTAACTTATATACTGTAGCGCACTATCTTACGCTATACTTTAATAAATCAAATGTAAGGTACACTTTGAGCCGAGATGCTATCCTCTAAGAAAGTTATTTTTGAATAATAAATTATTGACTTGCTAATATTTTACTTTATAGGTTGACGAAACCAAAAAAAAGTGAAAGAACTATGCCTGTGCTTCCTAAGGACACTATACTGGCACACTTATTAAGACAATCGGAGCTTGTTTATAAATACCATGAGCATGACAGTCTCTTAGAAAATAAAGTGGAGCAAGAATTGAGTGAACAAGAAAAAGCGGATGCTTGGGAAACTTACGAAAAAGAATTAGAAGTCAATCTAGGTAAAACATTAAATAGAGTCTCTTAACCTTTATGATAATATATGTATTTATTATTTGCAATCTCTCTCCCTCAGAACAAAAGGAAGGATTACATGCTGAAACGTAAGCAATTATTTTTAGCGGTCTTATAAAAGCAACATAAAAGCATAATCAATTTTTTTCTTCTTCAGAGGTCAAAGCAGTATTCCGACTTCAAGGCTGTCCTCGTACTTAGCTCCAATTCCAAGTCTGGATGTAAGTAGAAATTATCATCCCAATAAAAATGTGATGCCCTTGCTACTGGGATAGAACTAAATCACTAGGATCTGCTTATATGGTGGCTTCGTTAGGAGCCTCGTAGTTTCCCTTGATATAAACGTTTGTAAGGCTGTCAAGATCTTTGGGTCTTCCTTTTTAACATCAGGAAGAAAGTTTTCGGGTGTCCCAGCCCGATCTCGGCTTAGTTGCAGCCCGAGCTGCAGTTTTATGTTTTATGCAATATTTCGTTAAACTGAAACTTATGTCAAATGTGTACATTACCCACATATGTACACACATATATAACAAAAATAATTTTCTTTTTTTTCAGATGCAAAATTTATTAAACTACAGTATTCAGCCAACAACATTTATGCCACAACTTAATTACAACATGAATCAAAATTACTTGAACAACTTAAACTACTACCAAAAGTATTCGCTACGATATCCAGACATTAGTTCTTGCTTAAATGATAATAGCTATGTCTCCCCTTATAATCCAATCAACCAATCAAATCATAATTTTCTTTCTGCGAGTGTACCCAGCGTGCCAAATAGTTCCAGTTCAATAGCTCCAAATGATATATTTCAGAGACATTCTAAAAGTATTGAGCAATCGAATCTAAATACAAACAAGGTACTGTCGACGTTTGAACAATACAAACATTTTCTTGAAAGTCCTTTCTCTAGTCTCATAAACTTTTCGAATCAGAGTTATGATGCTTCAACTAATAAAGCAAAGTTTACAGACGTTGGAGATAATGAAATTTCAAGAAAGGAACGTTTAAATGCATTCGATCCTCGATATACTCAAAGCGTAAGCGCTGCGAATGATTCAATTATTGCTAAAAATATAAATACCGTTGATCTTACACATATCACAGCAGATGAAGAAAAATCGGCAACAATGGTGATTAAAGATCCTGTGTCAAACTCTTCAAAAAACAGTAATCAACGAAAAAGAAAAGTCCCACCCTATGCCGCTGTACATAAAGACACGACAAACCTTGTAGTTAACCAGAATTCTTCTTTAGAAAACATAACCCGTAAGGGTTTGACCAATTGTGGCATGCAAAATGTACCCCTAGCTAGCCCTCCGCAAACTATTCGTAATTCCAAGCAACCTTTTGCAATGTCTACGAGTACTTCTGATGCCGCTTCAAGCACTACACGCTATGACCGCTCCAATATTGTACAGAAAAATACGGTTAGTGATTTGAAGTTGGTGTCAAGCGTCTCACTGAATAAAAACGCAAATTCTAAAAGTGGAGTGTTTAACAAAACTATACAACATTCAACGAAGTCAACAATAGGAGATCCAAAAGATACCCCTTCGCTAAATCATCAAAATAAAATAAGGAATAAGGTCCATGAACCTTTTTCTCCTTTCAAAGACAACGTGGGACGAAATGTTAGCAATGATAATCTTGAAATTGATGTCTGCTCTATCGGGTAAGAACATAATTGTATTCTTATTATTATTATTAACGAGTCGACTGACTCGTTGGACCTCCAGGCCCAAAATATCTGAATACAATCCTACAATTAGACTCTGCTCCAGACTGCCAGATCACTGTAGTCATCCACACGGAAGATATTATAAAATATTTAAAATTAAAAAAAATACTATGTTGGGTTTGGTTGACTTTTGCTTTTAAAAATTCACTCAATATTGAAGACGATTAAGCACAAATAAATATAACTAAATGAAGATACTGATACTTATGCCTTTAATTGATTTCCTCTTTTGTTTTTCAGGACTCCACTTTCAACTAGGAAAAGGTCAGCAGGTACTCAAGACGAAGATCTCAATTTAAAAAAGAATAAATTATAATTATGTGTATCATCGATATGTTCAATCCGGCCTAACAGCAGACCCGCCATGAAATAGTATAAGGCAATAAAAGCATTTTTTGTTGTTAAAAAAATGCATAGTACACAAATAATGCTAATAGTTTAAATAAAAAGGTTTGTTTATTTATAATTCATAATTAAAATTATTTGTATATTTTATTATTCCATCCTTGCGCTACGAGCATATTACATACTTATAAATTAGGGCGCTAGACACAACAAATGAATTAGTTTTATTTAAATTTAAGAATGGAATTTACTAACATTAAGAAGTGATTAAAATTACAATTAAAATTGTATACTAATATTTTTTAATGTAATTTTGTAATGTAGTTTCTAGAGGTCTCGCTCTCTTTTCATTCATCTTTACTATTTTAAATATAAAGGTCAACTTGAATTGCATGGCACCACTGATTGCCTTGACGTGAGGAAGTGGTTTCCAAGTGCGAAGTGCATATACAAAAAACTGTCTCATTGTGCAGGAGTCTTGTATGCATTTAAAATATTTCTGGTCTTTCCCGTGTGCTCATGATGGCTGAACGCCAGAGCCGAAGACCCTGAAAACCCAGTTGAAAGTTAATTGATTAGCGATGGGTCCAGCTCCCAATATAAATCGTAATTGTTTATTCCTTCTGAGAGCATATTGGATTATATATTTTCCTGGATAAGCGGCGCGAGAATTTAACCTTCACTGCTGTGGCGATTTTCTCTCTTTAAACCGACCTCGTATTGCCTCCTGCATCGGCTTTACCTCATCGGCTTTGACCGGGTAAGTTTTCCTTGCTTCCCCCTATTCATATTTTCCGTTGACAATTTTTTCTTGGTTCTTTTATTTTTGTATTCCCTCCAGCTCTATTGGCCGAGTCCCTCTCTGTCCACAAACTGCTATGTCGCGATCCCCTCATCTTACCATCTTTGCAGGCCGCTCGCCGTCGGTACCTCCTCCGCGGGTGATTCCGCCATAGCTCCTCGTCCTCTCGAGAGCTCCGAGTCGACGGTCTGATAATCGACGGCGCAATTGGTGGTTCCCGCCGACGAAAAATATTGTCAGCAACCCCCCATTGATACGTCGCCCAATGAAACGCTGAGCTTCGGCATCGAGACGCGTAAGTAAACCAGAATATAATTGCGGATTTATTTTAAAATAAATCTTCCTTCACAGAGGACTTAAATGCCCTACGCTTTGCCACAAGGCGTGTCGTATTCGATTTCCTCCTCGCCAGACGGAGTTCTATCAAAGTATCCCAGCCAGACAGAATCGTATCCCATCAGGACAGAACAAGTCATCGTCATCCTTCGACCTGGACATCGACTACAAGGACTTTGACAATGGCAAGGGCAAGGGTAGGGCCACGCGGGCTACTAGACTCTAGATAAATTTTAATGTTATTAGGTTTAAGATAGATACAAATGTTTTTCACGTGTTTATTTATTTATACTCAGCTACGATTTGATGAATACAACTATTGAAAAAATATCCTTGCAAAGAATTGGGAAAACATACTTTCTAGGGTGGGGCCTTACCAATGATATTTCCAAAATCAGGAACGTATGGAACGGCCAGATCGGCCCACAAATAATTGAGAAAACAGGATATTTATGTTAGTCCATGGTCCTTGATAAGGACTCCGTCAAATCAGGGACATTTTTCCGATCACAGGAAGTCATTGCACGCCTAGATCGGCCGTCAACTAGCCGAGAAACTAAATATGTATGGTTGTGATTGTTCGAGTCCTTAGCGAAGGCTCAAGGACATTTTTCTGATCACGCATGGCCAGATCGGGCTACAAAATAAGAGATTAAATAAGATATATATGTCTGGAGAAAATATTCTCGATCCTTGGTCCTCGATAAGGACTCCATCAGATCTGGGATTTTATTCTGAACACTGGAAGCCGTCGCCCCTTCCGATCGGTTCACAAATAAGGGAGAAAACAAGATATATATGTCTGGAAAAAGTATCCTTGATCCTTCGTCCTTACAAAGGACTTTATAAAATCAGGAACATTTTTTCGATCATAGGAAGCCGTCGCACGCCCAGATCGGCCCATAAATAACGGAGAAAATTAGTATTATTTATCCTTCATGTCCTTGGTCCTTGAGAAGGACTTTATAAAATCAGGGACATTTTTCCGAGCACAGGAAGCCGTCGCACGCGCAAATCGGTCCACAAATAACGGAGAAAACAAAACGGACTATGAAAATGTAGTTCAAGAAATCACCAATAGGGGCGCCACCGTACAAAAAAAAACTACCGTCAAATGGTCAAAATCTGGATGGGACACCAGGCCAACAGAAATCAGGAGAAGGTCGCTGAATTTTTTTAAAAATTGTTGCCCCCAAAAGTATGCACCAATTTTTTTGCACTCGCTGCAGTTGCTTGCTGCTGATTTCTGTTGGCCTGGTGTCCCATCCAGTTTTTGGCCATTTGACGTGAGTTTTATTTTCTTGTACGGTGGCGCCCCTGTCGAGGATTTCGTGAACTACATTTTCAAAAACAACAAATTACAAGCCAATTTTGTTTTCTTCCATATTTGTGGGCCGATCGGGACGTGCGACGGCTTCCTGTGTTCGGAAAAATGTCCCTGATTTTATGAAGTCCTTTGCAAGGACCAAGGATAAAGGATATTTTCTCCAGTCATATATATCTTGTTTAAACCCTTATTTTCTAGCCCGATCTGGGCATGCAATGGCCCGCCTTGATTAGAAAAATGTCCTTGCTCCTTCGGTAAGGACTCTAACAACCCCAACCATATATATTTCGTTTTCTCGGCTATTTGTGGGCCGATCTAGGTGTGCAATGGCTTCCTGTGACCAGAAAAATGTCCCTGATTTGGTGAAGTCCTTATCAAGGACCCAGGACTAACATATGTATCCTGTATTCTGCATTATTTGAGAGCTGAACTGGCCATTCCATACGTTCCTGATTTTGGAAATATCATTGATACTTTGGCAAGGACTCAAACAACCCCAGCAAGTATGTTTTCCCCAATTCTTCCCAAGTATGTTTTTTCAAGGAAAGGCGAAGAAGAGGGCCACGGCAGTGGACGGACCCAAAGATCGCCCAGGCCAAAGGGCACAGCTCAGTTGCCAATGACGAAAAAAATACAAATGGTGATTATCATTAAATTTTTGAAATTTATTAGGACTATATTTATTTTTTCATATTTTATTTGAAAGATATAATATATTATCAATACATGTATAATGTGTTACATACTATATATACTTATATTTTATTTAATTGATTCGATTATTTAAAATAATTACGGTCTTTTTTCTTTTGTGTTGTTTATATAACCTAAATATTTCTGGTTCATTTTGGTATTCACTGTTGTTAATTCAGTCATAAGATTTGAATGGTTATTTTGAATTGTTAATCTAACAGGTAGGGTAAACATTTTTTTTACGTTTGATATATGTTCGATACTTTTTTTTATATTACTATAATTTGTAAAGTTATTCAACGAACGACTCAACTCAGCTTTCTGCCACTGTTGAACACTTGCTTTCCGTGGAGTTGATGGATATATTATGTGCTGCAACAAAAAAAATAAGTTCACTAAATTAATGTCCATAAAGTCAATCAGAGAGAGCCACTTTTTCCTTAACCCGACGTTTATGTAAAACCGTTTAAAATGTAATATGTAATGTATTATCTCCACCCCATCTCCGACGACGCGTCTGCGGCAACTTTGACATTGCTGCGCTCTACCTTCACCACCGATGCTAGCAATGCTACCGTTGCAGACTTCCCGTTGACGCCAGCCTTCCTCTACCGTCGTCTTTTCCTCTACCGCGATCAATCGTAGGTTTCTAGCACTTATATTTAAGTCAGTCGTTTTCTGATATTAATTTAATGCACTTTGCAAACTAAACTGAGTTAAAATAACTTTTTTGTCCTTTCAATACAGATACAATTAACTTATACATATTTGGTATTGTACTTACCGAAACAAGAGCTCTTTCTGTGAATGCGACACTATTTCTGATAATATCATCAGAATGATGGTGATAATAAAATTGGGGATTTTGGGCCTCCGTGTATCTAGTGGTGCTGCTTATGACGTCAACGCCATGATGGTCAGAGTTGGTGACATTATCGTATCCGTTGCTATTACTAAAAATATCCACAATGCTTATTGTATGAAATTCACTGGGATGAATGTAAAAGGTAGCAATCAAACCACTGTATACTACTACATGGAACAATAGACATGTCCAAATAAGTTTTATCTGAAAATAAAAACATTGAGCATCTTTTATAAACCAAAATCCTTTATAATTATAACCTTTTTTTTTCGTCCGTATTTCGAAAATGTTGTAAATGGCACTAGGGTCATAGTTAAAAGGCCACCACAAGCCACTCCAGCCAAAAGTCCAACAAAATTCAGCTGATAGGGTAGGGTTCCGATTCCGACCAGAACACTGCATAAGAGTAACAATTTAAATAAAGCAATATGCGGCTTGTGAAGACATTTCCAATGCATCCATATCAAAAGTGCAATAAGCGAAGACACCACACCACAGAGCGATGCTGATGGTCCAACCTGTTAAACAAATTAATTAAAAGATTTTTTAATAAAACATCTGAATCACTACAAAGTCTATCTTGTAGGATAACGTGCCGATTGTTTTTAGGTATTCAGATATGAGCTTCTCTCGTTACTCCATTGACTCCATTGAAAAGAGGATGGAGGTTTCGACTTGGAGAATTTATTTCACATTGCAACTTTTTAGATATTTTCAATTACCTCTGGGCGATGTGGTACAATTATAGCGCTTGTAAGATTTCCTGCAAAGCCGGAAACTATGTAGACAACAGCAGTTCGTAGCGTTCCAATTAATTTTTCCAAATCAGCAAGAAACAAATGCTGGAAAATGAGTGTAATTGCCAAGTGTAAGATACCGGCATGCATGCACAGTGATGTTAGCAGTCTATAGAGCTGATCTGGAGTTTCCACAGATATAAATGGTAACATGCCACAAACATTGTTGAGGCATGATATCTGAAAGTGAATGGGACAGGTACTGGAGTAACGACAACAATTTCAAGCCATTAACACTCACCTGTGAGCAGAGAGAGGCTTCCTCATGAAAATATCCATTTATAAAATCACAATACTCCCGCGTCGTTATTCGGCATTCTCCGTATAACCCGGTGCAACAAGGATGACCAATTACTTCGCAGACCATATGCTCAGAAGTATGGTCTTTATAACGATAGCGCTGCGTGAATGAATTCGTTTTACGACAAATGGGCCACTTTGTGATGTCGTCGGGCCACTCATATGGTGCTATTGACGCTGGTGCATCGCAAAATTTTGGATCTAAGCCGCAAACTGATCCAGAAATTCGACCTCCAGGTCCTGATTCGCCGGGCGACCATTTTTTCCATGTTGATATGGATTTCTAATCAATGGGATGAAAAAAGAATTGAATAAGATTCAGAATCTCATAAAATTGATCTTCATGTTATACCTCACGAAAATATGTCAATGGAAAATAAGAATAGTTTAAAACCACTCGAACTGTTGTGAGAGGGGTGATTGTGGTAGAGCGGGAAAGAAGACATATGTTTTGTACATTCTTAGCCTGGGCTATTATTAATATGAAGCCAAATTGCCACTCCCATTTACAAATTTGTAATTGAGTTTAAAAGTTGAGTTCTACTGTTGGCGATGAAGCATCATCTCATTGCATATCAACGTCCAATGAACAATATTGAAACACTATCTAATAGATTGCAAAATCAGATAGGATAATTTTCGCACTGCCACATCCGTTGTCTCTATCTGTATTGAAAGACATAAAAGGGCAGCATAATACGTCGTTGGTGGGGAAAAGTGATAGAACGTGCGGTATGGAAACAGCTTGGGTTTGTTGAAACCCAACCTCAGCACTGTTTTTGTTTTGATAAGTATTTGTTGGCTTTTTGAAATATTTACTTACTGTAGGATAGAGGCCTCTTATACTACAATCCGCTTGAGAACTTTGAACGCATCCGGAGTCATCATTCCGGATACAGCAGGCTGTTTCCCTTTCGTGACGTCTTGTCTTAATAACCACGTCCATGATCTTACTGTCACGTCGCATGCAGGCAGCAAACTTTGCACCAATGTGAACTAAGTCAATATTCCTAGGCCCAATCCACAGATTTCGTTGTTCTACATGTTGAACCGTCTGCAGACTTAGACTGGTGACCAGTACCTGTCCTGTTTTTTGTTCAGAGCCAATTCCAATTGGAGCAATACCATAACATATTATCGATAGAACTAAAACTAAAAACTGTACGGTATTAATCCAATAGGTAAATATAGGTCGATGATCCGTTCGATCGTCTAAATCATTGACTGAGAAATATTTGATGCGCCGTAAAGGGGTTCGCCTTGAGTTTTCCAAGACTCCGTCCAACAGCTGAGCTGTAATACGTGTACCACGTTGGCATGCAGATGTTGTAGATTGTGATGTTCGCATTGATGGTTGTATTTGGCTAGGGATTGAGTTGCACAATTGTATATGACCCGCATTTACTTGATGTAAATTTTGATCAGCATTTAAATTAATATCACCATTTGTGCATGCATTGCTGATCAGAGCGGATGTGCGCCATCCGTTTTGGTGTCTTTCAGTCATGTACACACTTACTCCAACTCCCATATTGGTACCATTGGTTCCCAGTGTGGAGACACGTGGCTTAATGGCTTGTCTGCTAATATCAGATATGTCATCATTTGCAGATGCAGTAGACACTTCGCAAGGACTATCAAAAAAGAGTTCATCAACAATTATCGTTTCTAAAGCATCCGTCATGCTATTGCTTATTTCTATATCAATCGGTTGATCGTTGTGAGTCGGATCAAAACTGGAGCTGCTTTGCACATGTAACGGTGCAAAACTACGTGACCATTGCCACTGATGCTTTACTCTGTGGCTGCACTTAGTCTGCCTTTTATAAATAAAATGGAGCAAATAATTAACCATTGTTATAAACATGTGACCAACTGACGCCTTACGCTCTACAAATTCACCGTCACAAAAATCTCTGTTAGTGTAGAATTTGGGTCGCCTATTATCTGAAGAATATGTCATATTCATAGCAATTGCATCTTGAACTGGTAGAATGTCGGGGCGATCCTGTGCGTAATTACTGCTTGCGTTAGAACAGTTCTGCTTCATTTCCGGACTATTTTGCTTTCCAACTTCAACATTAACACCGTGTCTAATCGACTGTTGGACACGATATTCTAGTGCGCTATCGAACAATCCAAATCGACGAATAGCTAGTCGACGATGTCGACCATGCCACAGAGCACAATCTTCGGCCTCAGTACTCGGCTCAACTCCAAAAAATTGGGAAGTTGTACGTTTTAAATAGATTACTATTCGCTTTTTGCAAGAGTAATGATGAATTTGTGGCTGCGGTAGTATTTGCAACGACTGGTGTTGATGTGTCTGTGTGTGGTGAGTATGCTGTAAGCGTGGATTGCTTATAAGATGGCTAAACGCAGCTGCAGTACCTGGTCCGTACAACTGATGATGACTCGACCCCTGCTTCAGTGCAATATTTCTACTATCATGGAGTTTCGTTTGAACGGACACGATACTTGATTCGGTATTTGTATTTGCAAGTTGCTCACTCAAACTCGATATTACTGGCGCAGTCATAGGAACAGACAAAGATATCGGCACAGGACTAATAGGTCCAGTCGTTTGTGTTGTCTGATGTACCCCAGTGGTTCGTCGTGCTGTATTGCAATGCATGCACGTGCCGGCGGGGCTGTCCGCTTCTAATTGGGCTATGGTGGTACCGGGTGCTATAACAATTAAAGAATCACTTTCCTCGGATCTTCGGCTGGTTATATGTGAGTTGTCGCTACTGTGAGCTATCGTTTGCTCTGCAGTAGCTGTCATAATTGGCGAGCAATGGTTGCCTGCTGAAAAAGCCATGGAAATACTTGTTGATGGTGCGGGCAATGGCGAGGTACAAGATGTTGAACAGGATACACTCGCGACATATGTTTGTGATGGTTTGGTCAAACTTCCATGCATAGATTCCACATTGCCATTATGGCAGCATTTTGAACGATAATTATAGGGCATATTGCCGTACTGAGGCTGCACTGATGATGCCGGGGGGGTCATATTCGCTGACGAGGCCTGTAATGTTAGGCCTGCATACATATCAATAGCAGGCGGTGGAGTTGGCACATATCGCTTTACTGGTGTATGTACCGCCGATCCTAGATAAGCATTATAATTTTCACATTGACCCATCGGTAGCGCTACATTGGATGGTAGCAGTAATCGAGTTGAGGAAACAGATGGAACTGTTGATGGAACATTTACTGCTTCTAATAATTTTGGTTGTTGAGCTGGCTTAGCCTCTTTATACCGCTCCAGACGATATCTTGAGTTTGGGGATATGCCACGTTGATGGTAGCTTGTTGTTCCGATACCATGCTTCGGAACTAAGGCATGGTTGTCTGACTTTGATATTGTTACGTTACATGTATGAGTTTTTAACTGGTTAACGCATGCCTCAAAACCATCATTATTAGGTGCGGGCGATGGAGGGGCTACGGTATTGGCATCGTCAATCTTTTCCAGCGGCGACAGCTTCAGCTTTCCAGCGTTGGGCTGGAAAGCATCACTAGACTGCGCATTTAAGCGAGAAGATTGCAAACTGCAGTACATCACATCACATTCATTTGATTCAAAGGTCAACGAAAATTGATTCTGGGAATTAACAGATTTTCTTTGACTGATGCTGATATTACCGTTTGCACGCATTATGAAATGAACATTGTCTGGACACTTTTTTCCAGTTCTACAATTATTGCTTGACAGTTTTTCTCCACTTGATGTCATAATAACAGTGATGGTTTCTCATCTGAAAAGGAAATATATAAGATTTTAGTTTCATTATTAATTAAACTTTTAAATATATATTATGAATAAACTCTCGATTTAAATTAAATATGTTGTAATGTAGTTTTCTTCTCTCAGAAAAATATTGTAAAGATAGTAGGACCTGCAAGGATTGACAGCCAAACAACAGAATAAAGGCCATCGAGAATATCCACAAACTCATTTATGTAATTTTAAATGCTTTGTTGGATACAATTTCAATCTCACCCACCGTCATCGGTTGTTTGACTATTCTTCCAGCTACTTAAGTTGGAAACCATTGCCACACGCTTGGGTAAACTCAAGAAGCGACATTCGCGTTCACTTGCCATCCGAAATGGCCCATTCAAATAAATCATATCGAAACTTGAACTATATGTGTTTTATTATTACTTTGAAGTTTGTCTGATGGCGGTAAATATGAGCATGCCAAAGGTCGCTGGGTCCGCTAGTATTTTATATTTTATTGTGTTTACAAAAATGTAGATTTTGTGTCAAACAGTGGTATTTCCTTCCTTTTATTCGGGTACGAATGAACCCGTCCCTAGCTAGTTTCCTCAGACCTAACAGACCTCTAACACAAGCTTGACACATCTTTCCACAGCTTAAGTTTGGCAAGGAAACTTATCAAGTTGTAAGAAAGTAATACATGATAATATTCAGTTCTCCATTTTGCTGTTTCTAATCGACCATTTTGTTATAAGCAGAGCATTATAATTTGCCCTGACGCATGAACTTCAAGTTGTGGAAGATGAAAATCGTCAAACCAGGTTGGTGCGTATACTTTCATGACGAAAGTAACTAGTTCTTGTAAGGATTATGCTGACGAATCCTATTCCTATCCAATGGCGAAGTGTGAATTCATTCGCATGCAACAAGCACACGAACCACTTTCCACTTGAAATACGGCTCCAGTGTTCACAGCAGTTTCATCACATCCAGTTGCCACAAGAGGAAAACGATATTCATATGATTTTACTTAAAACTCGACAAAATTATTTTAGTATGTGGCTGCTTTACCCGAATCAATTGAAAGATGACCGAAGTATACTGAGCCCGAATCAGATATTAAAGAGAGATAGCCATCATAGGTTTATCTATTCAAAAACTTTGCATATCTGTTGGAACTTTTTCGATTCCACTATTATTTATGTTTATGTTTGTTACCCTTTTGTTCGTACCATAAGTATCCCTTGTTCATTAGCGAGAAGCAGAATTCGTAACCGAGCATTCCTGCACACTAAACAAAAAAACACTTCTTATGGGGTATGACATTTCAAACTATCTTCATGCCTAATCCCAACATGAAGTGGCAGAAGTCTGATTTGTTGTATACATTTTTGATTTTTATGAAGTCATCGATTAACAATACAGGAGTTAAATAGAATTTGTTTTGCCAGTTTCACTCCACGATATATATTTTTTATATACATACATACATATGTATTTGAATACATAACATTAACAAACAAAAAATAACATGATAGCCAGAATTACTATCAATGTTGAAATTTATTAATTATGTATATATGTATGTATATAATGGATACATCATTTTAGATATATCTATTAAGAATACAATTAACACACAGTTACATACATATTTACATACCTCATATATGTTTAACACAAATAGATGTGCTGGTATTCACATAGAAATTTTTGGTTTCCTTTTCCTCAACAATTTTTGATCGATTTTTCGCCATATTTCAGAGCTATAAACAAGAGTGTAGCTACACTAATAATAACTTGGCGAAATTTTTGTTCTTGTATGTATTATCCATGTATATATCTTCTCATATATACGAAATTATTTAGAAGATTTTTTGCACATTTATTGTTCACAATCCTTGGTCACTTAATCGCTTTCAAATTCAATGTTATACACATGTTTGCATACATTTCAAATACATGTTGAATGCGCATGTCCAATATCCTGATGACAAAAAATACTGAATAAAATGGATTTTGAAAATTTAAAATATATATTCCTAAATTGAATAGAAAATGAAAACAAAACAAAAAAAAAATAAAGAAATACGAGCAAAGAAACATGTGCGCTGATAAATTACAAAATGATTCATCGAAAAATGCCCTGATGGGGCTCACAGCTTAAATGAATCAGAGCACTTTTCACGCTTAAGTTTAATATCTCCTTAACGATCTAACCTATCACTAAAAATCAAATTAATACGTATAGTCGTATATTTAAGCTTAAACAAAACCAACCTCAATAAATATTTTTGTAAAAAAGTTTTAACAAGTAGCAACATAAATTTATTTCTTCTTTTTATCGTTTTTATTTTATAACCTCAGCAGCGCTGAGTCCCCTCGTCCTTCCTGTTGATCGTGGGAGTAAAAGAACTGCTGCGGGAAGCAAGCGAATTGCGAATCTCGTCAGAGATATAATGGCACCAGACCATATAGATAAGACTATCACATCATTGCAACCCAACCCAGCAAACCAACTTAGCTGCAAGTAGCGTGTACTGATCTACTGGTAGGTACACACCCTACGTAGGGGTTATATCCAATCTAGTCCTTCAACTGAGAAGAGTGGATACAAAGTCACGGACTATGCCGTCGATGGTGATATAATGGTGAATATGTGGTATAAAAAAGAAAAAAGTGCAGCCTTCTCTGAATGAAGAAAAGCTTAAATCTTGTGTTGTTAACAGACACAGAAAACCTCCGTAAAGTCCATCGAGCAGTATTTCTCGGAGTCATCGGATCTTCGAAATGCACCCCTAGGCAGACCTGAAGTCCTTTTCGACCCACATATCCCTGCCCTGACTAGTGCATGTATTCCAAGGCTGAGATATGTACCGTTAAAATGTTTCGATAACCTCGACTTTCAGGTATATATTAATGCTGTCATCACACTAGACTCGCTAATCTCTGCTTCTAGAAGGCTACGCCGATGAAATAATTGGCTCCGTCCATAGAAACGAAGACTGAAGACACCGTTACTACTTCAGAGTTATCCAAACCTTGGTTGAGCAGACAATCTATACCAACCTAACAAAAAAGTAAAATTTATATTGCATGAACCAAAAAAAAATCAACAAAACACTAATTAATTTTGAAGTCGCAAGCCTCATTAAAGCGACTTGTTTAACCAGCTAAAAGAAGATGTATTTTAGACCACTACATCTGGCCTTATTAATCTGCTTGTAAATAGCACTAGTAGAAGTGTTCTTTATTGAATTTGTTATACAAAAACTTTTCTTTAATATGTATATAAGGTTTGATAAGTAAATTAAATATTAAATGCCATTTGCCGTATGGTTTGACTAATGCCAATTTTTACCTCTGCGTACTTCTGTATATATTCTTTTATTTTATGTTTGTTGATACATGATGGGATTAATTTAACTCATTGACTTATTTGTTTATTACTTATACATATATATACATGCATTTAAGATCCGCATGATAAACAGGCATCCTTATTTTCGAGCGAGCAAACCATTTCAGCCATATGGCGTTCTCGGTCTGATTCAATATGGTGAGAGTTATTGGTGCTTTCATCAAGCAAAGTTGATTTGTTAAAAGACCCATTTAGATCATTTAACGCTGATGCAGCTTGTTTCTTGTCGACAGTAAATTGTATTGCGTTGGCGGCAGGTTTTGTGCGTAAATAATACATTCCGGTTTTTAGTCCAGCTTTCCAGGAGAAAAAATGTATGGATGTCAATTTTCCGTAGTTGGGCTCTGCTACGTGAACATTAAATGACTGACTTTGATCAATAAATGCACCTCTATCAGCAGCCATTTTAATTGTGGATTTTACTGAAATTTCCCATACAGTTTTATAAAGATCGCGAACCTTTTGGGGAATAGTTTCAATATCTTGAATGGAGCCCCTGCTGGAAATTATTTTATTTTTCATCTCATCATCCCATAAGTCCAATTCTGTTAAATCCCTCAATAAATGATGATTGACCACTTGAAATTCACCAGATAATACTCGTCTCGTATAAATATTTGTGGTATATGGTTCGAATGATTCGTTATTACCCATAATTTGTGCAGTAGATGCTGTAGGCATCGGCGCTACTAACAACGAATTCCTAATTCCGTGCTTTTTAATGTCTTCCTTCAGGCTTTGCCAATCCCATAGGTTCGTTGGAGTTTTATCCCACATATCATATTGTAGAATTCCCTTGCTCACAGGACTTCCTTCATAGGTTTCATATACTCCAAATTCTTCAGCAAGTTCACAACTAGCTTCCAGAGCCCCAAAATAAATTGTTTCAAATATTTGTTGGTTTAAAAGACCGGCTTCTTCGCTTTCATAGGGAAAACGCATTAAAATTAAAGCGTCAGCTAAACCTTGAACACCTATACCGATTGGACGATGCCTTAAATTGGACTTCTTGGCTTCTGGCAAGGGGTAATAGTTGATGTCTATAATTTTGTTAAGATTTTTGGCAACAGTTTTGGTTACTTCTTTTAATTTTTTGAAATCATACGTTTTTTCTGGTGTTACGAACATGTTCAGTGCTATGGAAGCTAAATTGCAGACAGCGACCTCATCAGGTGCTGAGTACTCGACAATTTCTGTACATAAATTACTGCATTTAATGGTGCCAACATTTTGTTGATTGCTCTTTCTATTACAGGAATCCTTAAAAAGCATGTATGGGTTACCAGTCTCCACTTGCGATTCTATAATAGCAAACCATAAAGCCTGGGCTTCCACTGTTCGATTCGCACGTCCTTCTTGCTCATATTTGACATAGAGCTCTTCAAATTTTTCGCCCCAAACATCTTGAAGGCCAGGACATTTATGTGGACACATCAACGACCAGCTTTCATTTGCCTCAACACGTTTCATGAAAAGATCAGGAATCCATAGAGCGTAAAAAAGATCACGTGCTCTGTTTTCTTCTTTTCCAGTGTTTCTTTTGAGGTCTAAAAACTCAAAAACATCTGAATGCCAGGGCTCTAAATAAATAGCAAAGGCACCAGGTCTTTTTCCACCTCCCTGATCAACATATCGTGCCACATTATTAAAAACTCTTAGCATTGGAACTAATCCATTCGACGTACCGTTCGTTCCACATATGGATGTGCCTTTAGCACGAATGCAATGAACATTAAGTCCAATTCCACCTGCTGACTTGGAAATCAGTGCACATTGTTCAACTGATTTAAAAATACCTTCAATTGAATCCGAATTCATTGTCAAAAGAAAACATGAGGACAATTGAGGTCGATTTGTTGCAGCAGCAAAAAGCGTTGGCGAGGCATGCGTAAAATATCGTTCAGACAGTAGGTTGTAAGTTTCCACTGCCGCATCAATATCGTCTCCATGAATACCAAGAGCGACGCGCATCAGCATGTGTTGTGGACGTTCTGCAATTTTCCCATTTATCTTAAGTAGATAGGAACGCTCGAGCGTCTTAAATCCAAAATAGTTATAACCAAAATCTCGGTCATAAATAATAGCGGAGTTTAAGCGATCAGCATTATTTTTAACAATATTATAATGAAATTCCGATACCATTGGTGACGCAGTGTTTGTTTCGCGATTGATATTTTTGAAGAGATCCTCGAAGACATCTGAAAAATGTATTGCAACATATTGTTAATACCGAGAAATGAATTAACAGAACAGTCTTGAAGACCGAAATGTGCTCTCCACGGTTTGTATAATAATTTTTATTAAAGATCTTAGGGTCAAGTAACTGTAAAGTTATCGACCCGTTTGACTACCTATATACGAGTATACATAACTACATATATTTCCCGCAAAAAATTCACCGAAGCCAACAGTAGACTATTAAAAGTCTATTAAAACACATTTCCACATACTTTTGTGCGTGTGCTATTTTCTAAGTTGATTGATACTCAGCTATTTTAATCAAATGGTTTATAATTCCATGAACTTTGATCTGAAGCCCTGTTAAACTACACTTTTTGGGTATTCTTTTGTGTTGTTGTAGTCATGTTTTCCTTTACTATTTTCTCCTAGAGTACAGATGATTCTTGGTAAAAATTCTTCCTCATAGACTCTTTACCAGAACTTGTTTGCAGAAATCGAGCACCAATTATAAGGCTAATGGAGAGCTACTATTATTCGTGAAAGATTGTATTACTTTCACTAATTTCCGTTCTCACCGAAACAAGATCAAATATTTAAAATTGTTTCAACACCCACCACACCTTTATATCGAAAAAATGTTTGGCGCCCACAAGTTGGAAGGTAAAGGAATTCTGAAAACGCAGAATCATAAAGAATAACCAAATCTATTAGATTGTGGAAATACTGTTAATCAAATCTCTTTCATATCCAGAATGAAGAAAGAATTCCCTGCGGCTGACTGCCCTGCCTCGCCCTCACCCAACTGGTACTTCGTTGGGTTAAAATTAAAAAAAATAAAGGAAAATAGAAACGGAAAGATGCAAGAAAAGGCGTGGTGTGGAAACAGGCGGAAAACAAAGCATAGATCAAACGACTGCAAAGATACACTCCGAGTACCGGATAGGATAGTTTTGTAGATCAAATGCCACTCGTCCAGGACTAGATATTGTCTGTGTACATACCAGAAAAAACTTTTTTTGTTTCCTTATGCAGATTGGAAACTGCAATCCGAGCAGCTAAAATGGCGTAGTCGGCATGATTGCAAGTCAAGCCAGCTGAAATTTCTGCAGCCAAATTGTCTAGTTCTTGCGTAGTGACTCCACAGTACAATCCGTTGATTACTTGAAGGGTAATGGACACCTAAAAATTAACAGGTTTATTTGCTTGAATATTATACACCAGGTCATGGCAAAGAGGAAATAAAACGGCATAAATTTCCCAAATATTGATTAATATTAATATTGATTCAAATTGTATACAGGATTCTGCCAAAATAAAAAAAAAAATAAAATTACAAAATCTTTAATGTAGCAAAAATGAATTTCTCATACTTTAGACTTGAAAAAAAAAAATAGAAGCAGCAGACTTAAAGCTAGCTAAAAACGATTCAAAAGCCGGTGGATTAACATTTATATTTGGTTGTGACAAAACTTTGGTTACGGATTAGTTATGCTCATCGAATGGAATCGTCCACCCAGTCAAGGTATGTCAACAGAGGCACTCCGCAAGGTGGTGTCCTGTCTCCTCTTCTGCGGAACAAGATTCTATGCGACCAGGAAGGGGAGGCTTCAAAGTGGTGGCATACGCGGACGAAGTTGCCGTTTTCTTCTCTGGTAAATACCCTCAAAAACTCTGGGATTGAATCCCTCGGAAACGGAACTCGTGTCAAGTATAGTCAAATGGATATATGTAGCAGTAGTAAGTAGGCCCTATGAAAAAGGACGATCACCCAACAACTGCGCAAAGTTCAGCGAACCGCCGACCTATGCATCAGTGGAGCCCTTCGCACCGCTCCAAATGATGCGCTAAATGCCATCTTATGCCTTCAGAGCCTTGGACCTTGCAAGAAGAAGCGTTCAGCACACAGGTCACTCATCCATACTAAACTACAGCAATATCGTCTCAACAAAAACGGACTACCAAGTTACAAAGGAGTAATAACAAAGACTTAAATACTCCAAATTATACATGAAACTCCGTTACTGAAGCTTACCTTTAAGGTGCCTAAAGCTTGGAGTTTGGAGATACATAAATACAGTTTTTTGGGCGATTAGTGGCATAATGTCATTTTGAGTGATGAAGAAAAGTTAGTTTAGATGGTCCTGACAGTTGCAAAAAATATTCGATAAATATGCGCCAGGATCGGCGATGATCTAAACAAACTCCAGAACCCAGGACATTTCAAGTGCGATGCAATATGATCGCACTTGAGTGTAGCGGGCACAGCGTCAATGTTGCGTCAGTATATCCGTGCGATGCTGATCAAGAAATATAACACTCGCGCATACATATGTACATATGTAGCACACTCTGTCCAATGACGCCGTTGCCATACACATATATATACGCACTAATATATTATATATGTACATTTATATACGGCTCTGACGCTGGCTTCGCTGCCAAAGCAGCGCCCAGCCTTTAGAGCTAAGTTAGCCCCTAAGAACATTGAACAATCAGTAATAAAATGGAACTGAACTAATTCGGTCACAAGAACTCAAAACGTATAATTATTATACTGAAAGGCAATAAATTACAAAGTGCAACATTAAACCAGGCCGAACAATACCTGTATTAAAATAGCTAGACTTTAGCCCGGACGTAAATCCTATTGAGAAGCGAATAACTCGCACTGCCGTAAAATTTTTCAGCAAGTAAAACTACACACATATAATTCTTTGGGTCACATGTGCACATATGTACACATATGTTTTTGAAAACATAAAATTTGACCAAGACGTGGTACGTATAGGGAATACCTATCAAGGTCTCTACCCTGGATCTAATACTTAATGATTAACTGTAATCTATTTCCTAAGACGCATGCTGTGACTGTAAATGTGCACGCTTAATTGCGAAAAGAATCAGAAAGATATTAAATACAACTTACAGGGTCAACAAAATCCATATTCAAATTATAACATAGCTTCTGAATTCGTGAGGTAATTTTATCAAAATGTACTTCTTCCTGTCTTCCATCTAAAAACAAAAGTTAATATAACAGTTTTATGCATTTTGTTTGTTCGCATACCTCGTTTGACAACAAACAATTTGGACGTTTTAAAAGTTTTATTTTTCAACATTTTTCCCGGTTATTTCACAATTGTTTGTTACAGCAAAGTATCGAAAAAAGGCGCCAAACAATTAGAGTTACCGTATGATTGTTTTACTATTTTTACTGATACTATCGAGTAACATGAAAATTATGATGATAGTCAAAATAGCGTCGAGGAGCCAGTGTTCATTCGGAACATCGGAAAACTGATAACATAATAGTAGACTATATAATGCCGAGAAGTTGCATGAGGGACTTAAAAGCTATTCTATGGCGGGGTTTTTTAATTCTCTTTTGAGGTATCCATCGTCTCTGAAAGCAGCCCGTTACCTAGCTACTCGGTCGGATACTTGTCTTTGGTGAGAAACAACATTAACCAAAGAACAAATTTGAGCAAGTTGATATAAAAAAATGTATGGCCACCATTGAAAATTGAATCTGTTTGTGCCTTGGCTGGTCGGTGCTCGGTTTTCTGGTGTCGGTTTACTCCCACAATTTCTGATGCTCTTTCTGGACCTCCAGCTTATTCCGACCAATCTCCAGCGGGTTGTCCAAATTTGTTAGTTTTTGCATATGTTTGGGTTAGCTGCGAATCCGCAATATTTTCATGGCAAATTTTTATAGCGTGATTATTCGGTACTTGTGTGTTTAATGGCTGAAAATAATAATTTCATAAACTACACACCTATATATTAATATGAAATTAATGAATTAATTAATATAATATATGTACACCGGTCGTGAATGAATCGAACAGAACATATTCACTATCGATATGATTAATGTCCATGAAGTCTCGACAGCTTCCATCTCTAAGTCCAGTGTGTGTCAGCTGATTGAGAAGTAAAAAGTCCATACATACATATATACATATGTAAGCAAACATGTCTAGTTGACGAAAAACTTTAAATAGTTAAATAATAAAAGTGCAGGTAATTCAAAACTCGAATTTTAAACGTCATTGAACAGTATGCTTATGTAGTTCATAGGCTGGAATATTGTGCACATATATCATTTGCATAATCGTCTCGATAAAATCTTTCAATATGGTGAAATGTAACGTTTAGCTCACATGCATATGTCGTTTGTTTGTATATATCGATAATTGTTATTGTTATTGTAAATGGATGTGTTGAATGTGTTTGGAATCTCGACTCTCGATGCAGACTCAATTGTAAAAATGCATAGTATTTTCTACAATTGGACTATTACTTGGAATGTACATGCACGTGTGCACTCTTACCTAGTACATGAACGTAAATACAGTGATTAACTTCATTATTGGTACGTCATGCTTTGTGCACCCTTTTTTTTATCTGTTATAAGATAAGATAATATTATCATAGATATAATTAATAAATATATGTTTTTATCTAATAAATTAATACATTTTTTATAACTGAAAGAATCTATTTATGTATCGGAAAAGAATTTTTCTATTATTTTTATTTCACTTTTAATTTTTTTTAAAGGTATATAAAAAAAAGAGTAAATTTTGGTCGTCATTGTAGATAAATACAGTGACGTAGGCACACTCATTATTAAATAAAAGTATACAAACTTCCAATTTATGGCTAGTCTTATTGTGCTTAATTATTCCCAAGCAATTAAGATTTTATTTGCAATCTTGCGACGTAGAAAAAAGCATAAATTGAGCGAGGGATCGACGTTGTGCGTCGCCAAAGACCTTGTTAGAAACATACTGGTCGCAAAGTATGTCGTTTCTGAGCCATTGTATTTCGGTAGGATTCTAGGACCCAGACGAGCTGATAGATAGGAAGCGGGCCACGGTGGAGAGGAAGGGTAACCGACAAGAGAATTAAAGTACACCACAGGCCCGAACCCGAACGAATATGGGAATGGAATTTGTTCCTGATGGAATATATTGCTATTAGATCTTTGGTTGTAACATATCTGCTGCCGCTCACTTAGACGTGTATAACAGTAATTGACACCGTTTGCCAATCTGACTTGGCTACTTCCAAGAACTACATATGGCATACTTCCTTTTCCACTAAGAACGTTTCCTATACATAAAGTTCTCAATTCCATTTGGGTAAGGACGGAACACGCAGGCAACTGGTGTTTTAGGTTCGGGTAGGCACAGTTCTCCTAGAACGCATTGGGAACTGATGGTTGCGTATCCAAAAGAAGCATTACATAACACATCTGTGGCATGCATCCAGAGCCGTTCCTTGAGAATATATAGTTCATACATAAAAGGACGTTCTATCAGAAACTATATAAAAAAGTTCTGCAACTGTTCCAATGTAATCACTTCAGAATCCTTCTTTGATCATAAATAAAAGAGAACCCGTAAGTGTTATGCAGCCCGATATAACTCAGTAATTTATAGATGATAGTTAAAGGTAAAGAAGTAGAGTAAATCGTATTATTTTTCGTTGTTTGCACCGCCCACTGTACTGCATTGTAGTTTACATATTTACATATACATATGGTCCCGCACGGCAATATATTTACAATCAAATAAAATAAAGGTAACAATAAAAATAAACGAAGAGGGATGTTGGTAGTCGCTGCTACGCACGCGACCCTACATTTATACCCGATATTCAGTCAGTATGGCTCCTCTCCGCCAGAGGGCGCGTTGCCTATCCAACACAAATTGATATGTTCCTTCTGGCTATAATAATCCGATCTGAGCCATATTCGGCAGTTCGCTAGATATGGTAATTTCTACGATTCTGCATTCCACTTTCACTAAGTAATTGTGTTCTTATTTCTTTTTTGGAAGGGTCGTTTACAATATAAAAAATATGTTCTATTCCTAAATGATCATAAAAATAAATGTAGATTACTATTCATACGATTTAAGGATATATGTACTTACTATAATAATCAAATTAATTTAATTTATTTAGTTTATTTTATTTATCTCGAACTAATATTCTTTTTATATCCATCAATTATAGGTTTTCATCGGTAATGAAGTACCTAATTCGAATAGATAAACAGTTTTTATAACATTCCAGTAAGTATAATTGGTTTAATGTGAATCCAAGATGGATTTTTGATGTACATTGTTTTTCTTTAGTAACATGTATGATTCGAGGGACACTTATTCTATACCCCAGGAAGAACTCGAAACCACAAGAGTCCTGCGTCGATGGCATTTCAGAGGTAATCTTTGTTTTGATAAATTTTTACTAAAAAAGAATATCGCTTAACGGAAACCGTGTATTTAATTGTAATAATTAAAGTATGTGTAGTCTGTTCTGTGGGGTAATAAAATATGACTATGACCATAGATTAGTCCGAATATAGGAAGGAACCAATTAGATTAAATCAAATGTATTTATATTACACCCTTGAGTACACATCAATGGCAAGTGCAAGAATGGGTGCGTCCAACCTATTGACGAGCAGTGTAGAGTCGTGGACTCGCATTAGCCCACTTGCATTAGGGCACGGGCAATTTGATCCGCGTACCCTTAATCAGTCTCGAGCCATTGGATTCACATTGTTCTTTATCGGTCGTTAGAACACATACAAATATATGTACTTACCCCTACGTTGCTCTTCATATAATAATAAATTGAACTCCTAATAAGCTTTCTCCGCATAAACTATGCCATTATGGTAGTCGACTCCCACTCTTTCGGGTCTTATTTTACGCTCATCATTACTGAGAGCGCTTTGACGCCATGTTTAATGTGAGAGATATATATGTAGATGTTTTGTTGTTTCTTATACTCCTAGCTGCTTTTCGCTGCTGTGGCATTTTGCAAACGTCCGAACTTGTACACCCCTCAAGCTTTACTCGCAATTTTATATTCATGCATTTAATCAAAATTTGTGCGCCGTGTTTTGTATTTATTCAAATCAATTAATAGGCCAATTGGGGATAATATCCTCTCTTGCCTTAGTTAATTGAGAAGCAAAAATACAAGCACCATATATGTATATAAAACTTTCTTGTCTCACCTCAATATCCCCTCTGAAACCATTTTTGGATTTTTAAAAAATTGTACAGCTAAACCCTGAAGTGCGAGAAACTTCGCTGATTCGAAAACTATGCTCTTTCACCATACACCTTTAGAGCCGAGGGTATTCTGAATATGTAACGAGGGGGAACGTTGTGAGTTGCTGCGGCGACCGCAACTCTACATTTATACCCGATACTTAGTCAGTATGGCTCTCCTCCGTCAGACGCCGCTAATATTGAACGACACGACAAAGATTGCTATAATAATAATCCGATGTGATCCAGATTCAGAATTCATTTTCAATGATTGTGCGTTTTTAATTTTCTCGTATCTTCAATATTGTAGTGTTTTCGTCTTTTGCGGGGGCGGAAGGGGTGGGCCGAAATTTTGAAATATACGTGTAATAGTAACATTTTACAGAAGTTTGGATACAAAATTTCGTTGCTCTAGCTCTTATAGTCTTTGAGCACTAGGCGCTCATATGGACGGACTGACAGACGGATGGCTCAATCCACTTTATGGGGTCGGAAACGCTTCCTTCTGGACGTTACAGACATCCATTTTCACCACAAATCTAATATAGCCCTATACTCATTTGGAGTATCGCGTTTCAACAAAACAACCCTCTGCTGGGTTTTTACTACTGGTACTGGTGTTAAATTGTAATTCTACTAAAGATTATACCAAAGGTTTCGTAGAATAAAAATAATGGGATTAAAACATTAAAAAACTTTGGCATTCAAAAAAAAAATAAAATAACCTTCCCAAAACTGTTACAACTGTTAATTAGTTACTGTTAGTACTAGAGAGTAACCATAGTAACCGGGAGAGTTAATTAAGTCACCTAGAATTTCATCTCGATTTGAATTCGGTTGGAATGAATATCTTGGGCATATATGAGAGCTGACAAAGGAACGATCGATCTGCAAGTCTTCGGATCCCGAAGCTAACCTTTATTTTCTGTTTCAAACCGTAAAATGTAATCAGTTTCTATGTACTTAAAAAGCATTGCAGCTGAAACAATTTCAATTATATTAAATTATAAAAAAAAAACGATTTTAAAATTTCAGACAAAATTCCTGCTCGCTTGGTGCTGTATTTTCTTTCATGGTCTGGTTTTCTTGTATCATTTATGATGCGTAATGATATGAATTTTGCTTTGGTTGCCATATATCCAAATGATTATACGAACCAGAACATAACTAATACCTCGCATACAATTTCGGTAATGTGACTCTTAACATTTTACACAGAGACCTTTTAAATATGATTTTTTTTTAGGGAGGTGGTACCGAAGACCAAACAACCATAGTAAAATCGGTTATAATAAGTTCATTCTATTGGTGTTACGTACTATCCCAGGTTGCTGGCGGAGTTGCCACTCAATTTTTCGGAACCAAGTGCGTATTTGGATGGTCACAGCTGGCAACTGCTCTTTGTAGTCTACTTATTCCGTTGGCAGTAGAATTAAATTACATTGCTGTTATTGTGTTACGTTCTATTCAGGGGTTTGCCTCAGGCTTAACTTGGCCTGCTATGTACGCTATAGTGGGGTACTGGATACCACTTACAGAACGTTCTCGTTTTATGTCAAGTTTTCAAGGATTTAGTATTGGAATCGGCCTAACATATCCATTATGTGGATTTATACTATCACAGTTTGGATGGCAATACATATTTTATACTACGGGTACTTTAGGAGTTGGATGGTGTTTATTATGGTATTTGCTTGCTTTTAACACACCTCGTGAACATCCTCGTATTACTAAAGAAGAATTAAACTACATTGAGCTTAATGTTAGCAAAGAGGGTACTAATACCAAATTAAAAGTGCCATGGCCACAAATATTTAAGTCTTTACCGGCATGGGCAATTGCAATTACAACATTTGGAAGAATATTCCTGCATTATATTTTTATTGTAAATGGACCCACATTTATGGGCAACGTCTTGAAGTTTAACTTTGAAACAAATGGTTTTCTATCGGGAATGCCTTTTATTTGCTCATACTTCTCATCGGTATTGTTTTGTTATATTGCTGATAAATTTATATTGTACAAAGTCTTAAATCTTACTAATGTGAGAAAGTTATTTACAGCGCTATCACAGATCATTCCGGGGATATTAATATACTGTATAGGATATGTAGATAATATACATCTTTTATTATCAATTTGGTTTATAGCAGTGATATTTATAACGGCATCCTATGCAGGAGCAATGGCAAATATAATTGACTTAGCGCCGAATTATGGACATTCTGCTGCCGTCTTAGCATTCTGCCAAACTATTCATATGTCAGCGTCGTTTATTTCACCATTAACGGCTGGATTTATTGTCACTCAAGAGGTAAATTATAATATATAATATAATATATAATTCGCTACTTATAAAAAACAGGCCATGTTAATGTCAACTACAGTTACGAACTTGAGTATTAGAACAGCAAATGACAGTTTACTGTTATCTTAAGAGCTTTTTCATCGTGTTTTTTAAAAGAAAAATAAATTGTATACATTAGGATAGCTGCTTTTAATAAGCGTAAGACTAGGTGTCTATATTTCTGCACATTTAGTTTTTAATGGACAATACGCTCCAAGCTACCAAAGCCAAACGATTCTTGGGGCCCTTTACTCATATAAGGCAAAAGAATATTTTAATAGCTTTCGATCAGATATATGGTAACACGTTCTGAGAAATTTAGTAGTTAGTCTTAGCTACGAATTTATTGCATTTGTCTTCGTGATGTCTATTTTTTGCCTTTGCCATTCTTTGGTATTCTATTTTATTATTTTTTCTTCTAATTTTGGGGAAAATGTCTAAATTGTATTCGTTAAACTATTAAGCTATTTTAATAGCTGCTGAAGTTTTAAATATAGAGTCGAGAGGTGTCAATTTAATATACATACATATTATTACAAGATATCGAATGTACACGTATATACATACATACATACATATGTTCGTAGGTAGATTTAGTTATGACGATCAACGCAAGACTGTAAGTCCGACGGTCGGGGGCGATAGAAGAAGAGCGTTAAAGCGAAAGTCTAAAAGGAGTTGCTTGACTAAGTTACTAAGTTACTACGATTTCAAGATTATATCACGATTTTCCAAGATAAAACTATAATTTTTTATTAATATACTAGGGGACAACCCGACTACACAGTCGCTTCGCTCGTGCGACAACAACCATCTCACTAGCTTAAGCAACAAAAAAACTACACTCGATGGAATGCGTTTTATCAGCTGTTAGCTCCATTTAGTGTTTGCAAGTGCAAGTGCAGAGCTTCCCCCCCTTTCAGCGTACCTAATGCACGGCAATATATTTATACTAGATAAGACATTTACATTCCATATATATCTATATAAATGCATACATATTCAATACAGCATTAAAACTTCTAAGTGTCATTGTTTTTTTTTAGGACTCCATCGATCAGTGGCGAAGGGTTTTTGGAGTTGGCGCAGTAATTTCCTTATTGACTTACGTTGTGTATCAAATATTTGGAACAGCAGAAGTTCAGTCCTGGAATATAAAACTACCCAAAAATGACCATTCCGATGAAGAAACTGAAATTTTTCCGAAATCAAACCGAGAATTCAATACAATTTCTAAGCCAATGTGAAAGTTTTTACTTAAAATCCTACTTGTATCTTTTTAATATTGTTTTACTTATTTTGGCAAAGAAGGATCTGTTACATAAATACAATATATATAAATATTTACCTGACCATTTCAATGTTTTAAGATTTAAGACTATTATATAGTTATTATTATAGAGGTGGAGCGAAAATAATCATACAAAGTTGTTTTGGTCCTATATACCTATTTTATGAATTAATATTTTCGATTTGTATATCCCTGAAGAGTGTACAATATTATATGTGTACTATATGAACATTCCTAAAAAAAGATTTTGTTGTGAGAAATCTTTTTCATTTATGAAGATAACACTATGCGACAGGGGTTTTTACTCAGCACAGAGACAATTTATGTTGCAGGCATGGTAGTTGGAACTTTCAGATCGTTATTAAAAATATGATACACAGCCAGAAGAAACGACGACCGACGACCTAAAGTCCATATATTCTTGGTTAAATAAAATCGAATCATTACAGCCAGAATTAAGAAATTAAGAATTCTCGTGACGATACAGCTCATAGCATTGCATATACATAAACAAACTGAGTACCGGGACTGGCACGACTTTAAAGCTTGTTAATAGTTTAAAGCACACATTTTTGTGAAAAAAACTCGAGAGGAACTACACGTGAAGTATGGACCTGCAGCGTCTAGCACTACTTAGGAATGGAGGTCGACGCAGCGCGCTGCAAAGAGCAGCACAGCAGCTCAAAAATAGAATCTCGGTCTTCTGTCCCTATGAAATGAACGTGTCGGGAAAAATTCGATTGACGTATAAAAATGAATCATAAAGATTGATCGTATCTACTTGGAACATAGTGGCGCCAGAGGAACAAACACTAGATGAACAAAACGCAGTAGTACAAGGCCAACTGGCGGACCCCTGGCCGGTAGCTCGAAGTGAGAAAAGCGTTGAAAATTTAGAAGACAGTTTATAGATAGACTAGTCCTAGGACATTAGTAAACAAGTACGAGAATACTGGAAAATCAGGCCCGTGCGGCCCCGTAGACGACCCAGAAATAAGATCCTCGACCTCGCTCCAGGATATTGCGTAACTCTGAAAATTTAAGATCAATAAAGATAACCCGTTCTTGTATCCTTATTCATGAACCACGAGACTCTATATTTCAGCTAACACATCTTTTACACAGACGTTGAAATATTCAATATAGACGACGCTGGCGTTTACCGAACGGTTTTAGCTTCCTTCCTTCAGTCCTTTCTTTTTATTAACATATTGAACAACAACAAAAAAATAATAATTACTTCAGAATAATTGACCATTAACAGAATATGTTCTCGACTAGGAAAAAATGTATAAATTTTGTATTTTATTTTATACCATTTTTAAGACAAGGTACCACTTCTTTAGCCCAGTCTATAAATACATCTGTGACCTGCCGAAGAAAGTTACTATCCGTCTGAACCATTTGAGTAAACAATATACATTTTGGTTTGTACTTTAGGTGAAAGACACTTGAAGGATGCATTTTAGCCTTAAGATGTCCGGAACAAGTCAAATAAGAACCGTCCTTTTGCAATATAGCAACATTCTCGAAAAATCCGCTCAAAAGACATTTTTTAAACGATTCAATATTTTCGGAGCTGTTTATAGTCAGGCCCAATCGCAGGCTTATTTCTGACAATTGGCGACAAACGTTACGGGCGTATATTAGGCAGCGATAATTTAAAAAATTATCATGACACCACACCTAAAAAAAATTAACCAAATAAATTCATAAATATTGTGTAAAAAAAGGTGGCTCTTACCTTCGGCTTTTCTGCCTTTATAAATAAATTATAAACATTTAGCAGCGTTAAATGATCTCCATGCTTGGAGTGAAATTTGGCATGTGCAAGTGTGGCCAATTCGTTTTTATCGTTGCTTGAAACAAAGATATTATCACTCGAAAGGACCGAAACCAGACGTAATATTTCCTCCATACAGCCGAACTTTGAAGCAGATGTTAATAATTTGGAATACTTGGGATCTAATGGATACTGGGACATTAAACGACCTAGAGGCGTAATGTGTGATATAGGTCCATATTCAATAGCCCCAAGACCATCCAAACTTCTATATGCACTTATCAGGGCTTCATCTAGTGGAGCGTCTAAGAAATCAAAATTATTGCAATCTATGTCCATAGCCAAAAGCTGCAGCACTGTTGATGTTGGGTTTGCTCTAAGAATTTCCGGCTGAGTCGAGCTCAGAAAAGAATCCATTTCACTTTTTGTATATGCCCGGTAGCACACTCCAGGTGCATCACGACCTGCCCGACCAGTCCGTTGCCATGCTTGTGCCCGTGATATTCGAACTGCCTTTAAAATATCAATTCCATCAACGGAATTAAAAAATTTTTCTTTTACAAATCCACAATCGATGACGCAGCGTATGCCAGGTATGGTAATCGACGTTTCAGCTATATTTGTGGCCAAAACAACTTTCCGCATGTTTGATGGGCCCGGTAAAAAGCATTCCAGCTGCATGCTGTGTGATAATTGCGCGTACAGTGTATAAACACGAATATTAGTGGGTCCATTTGTATTTATCTAAGAAAGAAAGAAAAAATCATTTTATAACCATTGTGATATTATTAGTGTATAATGACATAATATTGTATCATACAACTTGAAATAGCATTATGGGAACCCTCAATACAGAGCAATCAGTCGTGCTCCGGCTATCGCCTCCTTTAAAACAAAAAGAATAACAGTTTTACCCCAACAAAATCAACTAAAATATAAATAATGTGGATTCCTGGTCCTGCAGGCATAAATGCCTCTTCTTCTTACGCCAAACATAAATTCAACAGGTATAAATATATAGATAGAAAGTAGCCACTGCAGTCAATCGTAGCGCAAAATTTGCATAAATCACATGTTGGCGACTAATTTGGATTCTGCCAGCAAAAGTTTAGCAGAGTGAATCAAAAATAATCCGAATCCGGCTGGGCCACTCTTATCGGACTCATCATCAATAAATTAACCATAACCTACCACCATGCTGCCCTTTTTTCCAAGATTATAATACAACCATATCCTACAGAAAAACATTCAAAATGTACCACAAAATTTAAAAGAGAACTAAAGCAATGTATACAAAAAATGTATAAACTACTTACTAAATTACTTATAATTAGGCTAATATACAACAGAGGATAATAAGTAAATAAGCCGCCACCGCCAATACAATGTCAAATAGCATAGTCGAAGTCCTTGTAGCCAGCACTAAACCATCCAAGTTATTTAAGCCTTGTAAACTTCTCTTATATCTCTTATATGTAATAATAATAATTACATATAAATGGGTTTAAATGGTATAATTTTCTTTTTCCTTTATATCATCCAAAGTTGTATTTCGTAGAAAAACTCACCTTTGCAAGCTTTCGAATTTGCTGAGCTAATGATTCAATTTCGTCTTGCCCAGTTAAGAAGATTAAAACGTCATGGCTGTAAAGTGATTCAATAATTTTAAATTAAAAAAATTAAATTTCAAATTAAAACAGGTAAATTAAAAAAGAGAAAAGCTTGCTTTGAAAGGATTTGAACAAGGAGTCGGAAATCCTTTGAGACGGAGAGCCAAAAGTTACAATTCAGAAATTTTGTTTCAGTGTTGTTGTTTTTGATTAGTATTAGCTATATTAATTATTTATTTTATTTTACATAAATAGGTTTAAATCCGCAGGTTAATGACACCTGCTTTGGACCGATGATTAATTGTGGTGGCCCATGCGACACCAGCAGAAGACTGTTACGCGCGGGTCCCATACAGGAACGCAGCCGTCCTCCAGGAGGGATTAGAACTAAACTTACTAAAATAACTAAGCATGCATTAAAAATAGAAATACAATAACTAATTACGATAAAGGTATGTGAGTAGTATTAATTTAAGCAGAGAAAGGAAATAAGTGGTAGTTATAATATGGCAGAGGGAATTGTAATCCGAGCATAAGACCCTAGCCGGTTCACGCAAGGAATAATTCGATCCACAAAACGAAAGGTATATAGTTTCTAGTGGATCTAATAGGCATCGTGAAGTTTATGCGGCTCAACAAACCAGAGCTAGCAGAGAGCACCTGAGAGCAAAGAGTAAAAACTGAAACATCGTTGTGGCTTTGAACTGAGACTAGCTTGAATGGGGCATCGACTCTGCATCGAATTCAATATGATTGAAATTCGCTAAATTAAGACGCTTTAACACTACATGTGTCAGTCTAGCCGTGGGAACGACATATCCCTCGAAATTATGGCGTCGAGAATTGGTCGGACTCCCCCAGTGAAATTCCTATTAATTTTACCCAGATTTTAAGCATATTATTTTTTTGCATACATACTTGATTGGTTCAGTGCGATGAATATGAAACAGCGTAACCAGTATCGCGTGGACATAGTCATCATGTGGCTCCTTGGCATGCATCACACGGACGGGATGCGTTCTTCCTTCCAAATACAATCCCTTACACTTGAAATATTTTCCAAAATGATCAATATCCATCGTCGCAGAAGTAATCACCACTTTTAAATTGGGTATATTTTTTCTACTTCTTTCTTTTTGAGCTTCTTTTACTATTCCAAATAGTAAGTCGGCATTTACAGTTCTTTCATGAGCTTCATCGAGAATAATCACAGAATATTTAAGCAAAAGGCGGTCTTCTATAGACTCTCGTAATAATACACCATCTGTCAGATAACGAATTTTTGTATTCTTCGTGGTAACATCCTCGAATCGAACTGTATATCCTACAATATCGCCAATATTGCTGGACAGCTCCTGCGCAACGCGTCTTGCAACTGTTATTGCTGCTACTCGACGAGGCTGAGTAATACAGATCATGGAACTCTTGGCATACCCTGCATGTAGAAGAAACTGTGGAATTTGTGTTGTTTTTCCTGATCCTGTTTCACTCATTATTAACACAGTGTCGTTTATTTCAATCTCCTTTAATATTCTTTGCCGGCAGTTGAACACTGGTAGCGATTTACTTTGTTGTCCAATGCAATTTCTTTTACTAGCTGGTGGTATATTTCGAGACGTTGAAAGAGTGTAATTAAATTTATTTTTAACGTGCATATCCAAATTGACTGTTTCAGCTTTCCGCTTAGTTGCAAAATTCGTCGAATTAAACCCGATCTCAGAGTTTTTGGTCAGCAAGTATTTTGAATCCATTTTTAAATATTCCGATGCAGCTAACGATAGTATACGATTACAAAGTTCACTTATACCGTTCAAATTATAAATTTCAAAATTGACTTAATAAAAAAAGAACTCCACGTTTGTTGCACATGCAGAAATAGAATAAATTTGTTTTGTATATTGTTAAAGCATGCTATTAGTGATGTAAAAAAACATCGATGTTTTTCTGCCGATGTTTACTGATGTTTTCCGATGTTTTTGTTGCTACCGATGTTGCGTGATGCATCGATGTTTTGCAAAACATCGGTAGTTTAATATCATATCATTGCGTATTTGTCTTCTGTAAGCAGCAACACAGCAATGCCAAAGTAAGTAAACATATATAACTTAAAATGAATCAAATTTACTATAGATGGTATACATTTGATTAAATATGAAACTGCGAACGCCGTTAACATCATTCGAAGGCAACCCGTTGTGTGTTTGGGAAGGTATGAAGAGTACTGTTCAGTCACAGACATATCATTCACAAACTAACAACTTCCAACAACACAATTTTTAAGTTTTAAGATTTTTTTGTATAATAATAACGCAATAAATATAAGTTTTGAAACATGTTAACATCGATGTTTTTTCTCTCAAAACATCGAAAACATCGATATCCGCAGCGCAGATTTGTCTTAGCCCACTCAACCCCCCTCTATTTAAACAGATTAACGACTTGATTTAAATGGCGGCAAATATTACTGATTGTAAATTCTTCTTGTAGGTCCATGCCATCTTTCATTTGAACTTAAAAATCACAACGCTAACTTTCACCTGAACTTCGCTAAAATTTTTAAATTTGCATTATTCTCGGTGGAAAATTGGCTTGGCTTGTAATAGGTTAATCGCTCTCCGTCAAGGATTGGAACCCATATTCCTCGATTTTTCCGCTGAATATTACTAGCTATCTACATCTCTCAGCCCTGCCCACATAATTGTATCCAATTAATGAATCAAATCAATTTCCAACTTTACTGGCTTCATTTACATAATACTTGATTTTGCCTAAAAAAAAATATTTTTTGTGAAAAAGGTCAAACAAATAAAGGTTATAAAAGGTAAGAGAAAAATCGTTACTATTGAGTCCGTTGAAAAATGCTGACTAACTAAAACCTTTAGCACTGCCCATATAATTTTAGGCCATTAATGAATAAATTATCTACTTTAGCTTATTCCAGGAAGACTCTGGTTGTCGCTTTTAACAACAATTTTCCTATTTGCTTTTAAGAAAACATTCAGCAAAATTGTTCAAAACGGCTTTTTATATATAAAAAATTTTAATTTTAAAAAGGAAAAAAATTGATGACGTCTTGGTGCATTAACAAAAAATTGATACCATACCAGGACAATTTAGCTTGTGCTTTCTTTATAAATATTGTTCAGGGGAACAACACTTATCGTTTTCAAGCGAGCAGCTTGCAGTTGCAGAATCTATGAGAAAATGAAAAATATCGATAACATACATTTGTGAAAACGCGAGCACTGTAAAACAAAACGTTTTGGCATAAAACGTAATTCGCAAAACTAAGTGAGCCTGCCTGATTAACATTTATAATAATGTGATATAAATTTAGATTATTTTAACCTTAAAATTTTATCGCTGCATTCGATCTAGTTATTTGTTAAAAATCGTAATATGTGTTTGCAATATAAATGCAATTAACATGTTCTATATTCCCTAAATTCTGTAACAATTTGCACCGCCCGACTGGTTTTATTAATTTTACCAAGTTGCCGTCGCAAAATTCTCCTAAGTCTTTGTTCTGTTTCTTCTCCGAGTGCTAGGCTAAACGAAAAAAGTTATTGTCAGTGCGATAATAATAATTTCAATATTACGAACAAAGACCATTGAACAAGAATGAATTTGTTTCATTCGACAAGTGTGCCATAATGTGTTTGGAATGAATTGCAACTGTGGTAAGGAATCTCATGTTAACAAATAATATCAACGAAAACTAGTCGTTCAAACCATTTCACGAATACCATAAATGCGTACATTTATCAACCCTGCAAGTGGCACTTACAGATAAAAGCTGACTGCTATAAAATCTGTTTACACCAGATGATTTTAGAGCGTCCAGTATTCGTTCATAATTGTCGGCCATGTTCCTTTAAATCTCCATTTCTGAAAATAAATAAATGAATTGAATTTACTAGCTTAAAAGTGTTTTTTTGTGTTGAAAGTGTGCTGTATATAAAATGAATAAAAGTATGTGTAAAGGCGGTCCAGATCTATTCTTAAATAAGAACATCTTTAGATTATACCAATGCAACTATTCTCTGTATATGCTTGTATTTGTGCAAAGTAGTCCTTAACTCATTTGTGCATTGTACTCGGAAATATAATATTAATAATTATTTCGACGTGTTTATTGTTCGCATATAACCACTTAAGCCGGATACGAAGAGAAATCTCATGCGCGAATTTGTAAAAACACATGTACATATATATGTACATAGATTGCCAAGGAATTAAATCTACATTCATACATATTTACATGGCTAGTAGACTTGAGTATAATAAACATGTGTGTGTGTGTTGCTCCAAATAAATATTTCAATGGTTTAATAAATAAATAATAACAATATTAATGAATTAGCGTAAGAAGAAGGGTGTTATCATACATTTACATACATATGTACATATGTCGAAAAGTCCATATCTATATATGAATGTCTTAAGTGTCTACATACGTACATATGTATCGTACGCAAAACATGGTAACCAGTCAATTAAACAAATTTCCCTATTTATCTGCAGCTTAGTCCTACCATTTCTAAACCGAATCGTATACAATATCAAACCATTCTAAAGAAAGGCACACCAGTCTGAAAGTCCAGCCTGTCATAAATAATGGGGGACCGTGACATCCCGAGCGTACCCGTCACAACGTTAGCGGGTCTAACCAGCACTTCTGATTGTAAGTAGTAATTCACATATATGCATTATATGCATTCATTATAAAGAAATGTAATAAACATATAAACATTCATTTATTTTTCACCAAGTGCTCAGCGAGCTACCTGTATCCGATTCTCTCCTGAGTGCGGCCTCACTGAATAAGTCACTGCTGTTCCATGCTTTAGTTGCAAGTGAATCTGATAATTTGCTTTCTGTCCGAGATGGGACTCTCGTACGTCAGTTGGTGAATGCCATTGAACAAACAAATTCGGACAATATGTAGGTACGATTTAAGATTAATAATTTAGCATTAATCATCCTTATATTTCAGCGAGCTAAAGCCAGAGTATACTATTGAACAACATGGAACTAATATTAGTACCTATCCAGAGCTACTCCAGGGCATTTACAATTTCCGGCCAACTGTTTTCAACACGCCATTGAAGATAAGTAAGTTTTAACATTAGTTAGTATATGTATTTGATTTTTGTTACATTCATATTTGTGATATCCAGCGCGAAGTGAACATAATAAAGCCAAGGGACTAACCCCCAGCGAACACATGGAGGGTCAACTACATTCCTCTCCGCAGCCGACAGCGTCATCTACTGATCTATCTCAAAATATGCAACAATGCAAAAAATCTTCCAGGTGAGAATCACTAAGTTGTACTGCTTATGTGTTATGCTAAGTATTATTAATTTAACAAATGTTTTTATTTTTTAGTATGGCTGGTACTGACGTGCTTCCAGATGAGTATTCCATGATCAGCTCCAGGACAAACGTGAATGATTTCAATAAAAGAATGGAGAAACCGGCAAACCAAGACCAAGATGTTACACAAACACTTCCAAAAATCGAGGAAATGGAAATCGCTCAGAACGCTTTAGACATAAAGAACCCAAGCTCATCTTTATATTCTGTGCAGCAACAGTATTTCAGTCCCCTTAAAGCTCGGGAATATTCATTGAATTGCGATAATCTTAAGCCCGCAGACAATCGTCCATCTTTTCCTCGGATGGATGATGAATTCCCGTTCTTGGAATCACCAATTTATCATTTACAAGCTGCTATGACAGAATCCCAAGCTCCCACAACATCGACCTCAATGATCCAAGGCAACTTCCAAAATGTATTAAATTTACAAAGACAACAGATTACGGAATCTGCTGCACATCACAAAGATCAACAAAAATCTTTACTGCCAAGCAACAAAAATCAGTTACCGACGCTATCCACCAACGTGCCAGACGAACAATTATTACCTGCAACTTCAACATCGCTGATAAGTAATAATAGTGGACATGCAATCGGCCAAGAACCGCATCAAAACAATAATTCAGCTTCGACTGCCACTTCGACATCGACGTCATCGAGTGGCAAGTCCCAGGTTCGGGTATGTATAAATCGTCTTAACGTTGAGGATACTCGCTTGATGCAGCAAAGTATTAAAAAGTTTGTACAAAAGTCACCAGAATTGGCTAGAAGTATTGGGCTACTACAACAATCATCAGAACAACAGCCCAATACGAGATTGAATATAGCCGCTGAGTTAGAAGTCGGTAGGACCACTACGGAATCTTTAAACACAACATTGGATATGTTTTCAACAATTAAAGCAGACGAGAAACGGTTTGCTTCAAAGCGAAAAATGGCTATTTCAATTGGTGATATTCCCCCGGAACAAATATGTAAATATTCCTATGACCTACAAAATACAAAATACAAAATAATCCCCTAAAATGTACGTTTGTTTAGTCTCAAAGCCCAAAGTACGTCGCGTCGAACGAATAATAGCCGTTTCCAACTCAAAGGATTCAAAGGATGAAGTAACTCGGTCACAAACATATCAACATTTTATGAGAAATATGGAACAAATTATTGAGATGTTGGACGATACGGAATCCCCAAATTTTGATTCAGGTACGTAAACACAAAACTTGGGAAACTTCCTCATGCTAAATGTACATCTATTCCCCGATCACTCAACGCCTGTCTTTGGCGATGTTGCTGAGAAATAAATTATAGTCTACTGCTCTGACAGGATCTCTAGGCCAGCAAATAACCGAAAAACCTAACCAAATTTCGCCAAAAAATAGTCTATTCTTGAAAAAGAATAGCATTTTTATACCCGATACTCAAAAAGTTTAAAGTTAAAGTACTAGTTTTGTGGTGGATGTGTGTAACACCTAGTAGGAAGTGTTTCTAAACCCATAAATTACATATATTATTGATCAGCATCAAAAGGCGAGTTGATATAGCAGTGTCTGTCCGGCTCAGTGATCTCAGAGACTGTTGGAGCTAGATACCCTCATGACTGTGTCGTGAAGACTTCTATGGAAGACTTCTATGATCACGTCGTTTACGTAAACGTAGCACATTTAACTTATCTTCTCTCTAAGGAAATCGTAGATAGCCTTCTCGAAAATCCGGATGAGATCAACGACCGGCGAATATTTTGAACCATAATCTGTCTTTATTATATTTTTAGTAAGGTCAATCATTGCATTTACTTTACTAAGAAGGTCAACGACAGTCAATTGCTGTGACCTCTTTCATGGCAATGCAATTGCCTTGTACTCTGGTCACTTGTTGCTTCTTGTGAGTTATCACTGAATTTTGGGTATTCTTCAAGCTACATCTGAGCTTCTTCGACCTATTGTTTGTTGTATATTTGAGTACGTGTGGAATAATAATAATAATAATAATTTGATGTAAAAAGAAAAAATGCAAATAAACCAATCTGACTAAATTAAGTTGAGCTTTAGTTAGTTAGTTAGTTAGTTAAGTCTTACTGGTTTTCAAAATATTTTTATATTTTACATTTTCAGAGCACGTTGACGAAAATATTGAATGCATTTCCCCAAAACTTCTTAATACGATGAGCAATGATGTGGCCAAGTTAAAAGCTAAACAAGCCTTGGACTCCATACCGAAAAACAAGTTAACCCTTCTAATAAATTACGCTATGCGTAATGTTTATTTAGCCAGAAATTATTTTGCTGGACCAGTATGTATTACATTATTTAATGTATTATTTTTCATGCTGATTTTATAACTAATTGCAGGAAGACGAAGATGAAATTGTAGATGATGAAGTAATAGAAAAAATTTTAAATGCAATGGATGCTTGCTTACTTATTTGCAATATATATTCGACAGTGAGCGATCTTAAGTTTTTGCAAGAGGACAACATTTCACATATTATCAAATTTGCACAATTTCAACTGCGCGAAACTATATTTCCTTGCCATGATCCTGTATATACAGTCAAGAGTACGAAGAAGACTACTAACCGCAAAAAAATTAAGTCGCATCAAGGACATCAGCGAAATCTACAGATCTTTTACTCTAAAACAGTTGAGCTATTAAAAGTTTTTGTGGCTCTTTTTGATAAGTGTATATTTGTCGATACTATAGTTTTGCCGCTGTCGACGCTTGCTATAGAACCATTCTTTGTAGACAATATTGAAACATTGCAATTTGTGTGCTTGGAACTAGTAACTACTGTAAGTAATGAAACTTTATTCATAACATCCTTAGATAACATCACACACAAAAGCGAACACCATTTATATTAAAGACACTTATATTGTATATTTTAGATATTTCGGAAAGAAAGATACGATAAAATAAGGAACAGTATCTTGGGAGACATATTGTCGTCGATTGATCGGTTGCCTTCATCCAAGAAGAACCTTCGTCCGTACAAACTTACAAATAATGGCGGAAATATTCAAATGGTGACAGCACTTGTGCTGCAATTAATTCAATGTGCTACAATTTTACCAGACTCGCTTTGTGATAACGGAAAAACGACCACATTTCAACTGACTGTTGATAACGAAGATGATCTTGAAAACAGTGCTAAGAAAATAGTTAAACCAAACAAAGATATAGTGGTTTTAAAAAAGTATGATGTAGCTGTCAGTATTGGAGGCAATTTCTTAACAACTTTCTTAAACAAATGCAAGTCACGGTCCAATGAAACAGACTTTCGACCGCTCTTTGAAAATTTTATCCATGATCTGCTGGCCACCGTCAACAAGCCCGAATGGCCCGCATCTGAACTGCTGCTTTCACTCCTGGGAACTATGCTCGTCCGATATGTGTCTGATAAGGGTATAGAGCAGAGCATTCGCTTAGTGTCCTTAGATTACCTTGGCATAGTAGCTGCTCGTCTGCGCAAGGACACAGTTGAGTCCCGATGTAAAGTTAATATAATTGATTCAATGATTAAATCAATAAAAGTGGAACAAGAAAAAGAGGGAGATCTATCCAACAATAACGTAAGTACTTCGATTAGTAGACTTTGTGTCTCATCACATCTACATTAATATTATATACTTCACAGACAAAAATTGAACTACACCCAGAAGAGCAGCGAACGGAATTTCTGCAGAAGATTCTTCTTGATTTTCTGGCTGTAAATGCGCAAGAAGAAAATTTAATTTGGGACTACGCACGACACTTTTATTTGGCTCAATGGTACCGAGATGTTATCTATCAGAGACGTCGAATAAAGGATGGAGAAAAGGGCTTCGCGTTGAGAAAATCTAAAATCCGAAATAAACGGAAAACAGGTATTTTTGCACATGATTCATGTTTCAATAGGCTTGTAGTACTAGTGATTTGACTAGATGTTTCGTAAAATGAAAAGAAAGGGATATAAAACAGGTGAAATCTTAAACTATGCTCATCTGCAATCAGAAATACAATAACTTTTCCGATCGTTATTATCGCCAGACGGAACAAACCATTTTGCAGTGACTACAAAACCCCACCCACGCGATAAGTCATTCCCTTACTCATTCTTCGTAGTACAATGTATGCGCAAAATCAATATCAAAAAAATTTTCTCAACGGAACAGCTGGAAAATAAATTTTGGCAACGAGTGGCAACGGTGAAAGTTCCACTGTGCGGGTCAATAATTCAGTAATTTAGTAAGATTTTCTCACAACTTATATAGAAGCGATATATTTAAATTGTGGAGTATGTTGCGTGGAAAGGTTCATGCTCTCAGTCAAACACCTTTTAAGATATAGGACGCTTCCGCCTACTTTCGAATTGATTTCATGAACTTAGAAATGATTTGTATATCTATTTTAAAATTATTAACCCAGCTGGAAAAAAATAAATGCATTATTTTCTTCAAGGTGAATACTTGGAAACATCAGATTCTGAATCGTGCGAAGAAAATTACAACGAAGACTCAACAAAAAATGGAAATCCGTCTATTGAATTGATTGATTATGAACTCAACCTTGAAATTTTTAACGTTTTAGAGGAACGAAAACAATATTTAATCAGTAAAATAAAGCCATATTCGGTTTCTGGCGAACAACATCACACATCACACCAGCAAATTAAGACTTACATAGATTATAATAATGCACAGCTAATAGCGCAATATTTAGCTACTAAACGGCCCTTTAGTCAGTCATTTGATGGATGCTTAAAGAAAATTATTTTAGTCGTTAAGTGAGTATATCGAGTGAGTTCTATGCTCATCAGTTTTTAATCATTTGAATTTTGAACAGTGAACCGTCCATAGCAGTAAGGACACGTGCAATGAAATGTCTCGCTAACATTGTGGAGGTGGATCCATTGGTACTGAAACGAAAAGATATGCAAATGGGTGTTAACCAGAAATTCTTAGATACTGCTATCTCAGTACGCGAAGCTGCTGTAGATTTGGTTGGAAAATTCGTACTCAGCAATCAAGAATTAATTGATCAGTATTACGATATGCTATCGACTCGAATATTGGTGAGATGTGTAGAATATAAGAACAAATTTGTATTCGCGGGTCCGGGTTTCACTTACTTTTGTGTTTTCGTTTTTAACCAAAAACGGTCCAAAAGGTTTTTCCCGGAGTCCGGCCGAATATGAGTGTAATAAAAGCAATTATATATTTTTAGAGCCTGCATGCCACTTGAATCTTATCGGTTATCAAATCTAATCAAAATTGGAACGATTCTAATCTGTATCATAACAAATAATTTAACATCATTAATTTGTTTTTTACATTCTGTTTTAGGATACTGGAGTCTCCGTGAGAAAAAGAGTTATCAAAATATTGCGTGATATTTGTATTGAATATCCAGACTTTGAGAAAATTCCCGAAATTTGTGTTAAAATGATACGACGCGTTAACGATGAGGAAGGAATTCAAAAGCTTGTTACCGAGGTTTTTATGAAAATGTGGTTCACACCGTGTATGAAAAATGACAAAGTAAGTAAACAATATTCAGATTTAATAAATGTGTAACTGTTATAACGCTTTCTGTGTATATATTTATAATTAGCACGGCATACAACGGAAAATTAATCAGATTATAGACGTGGTAAATACAGCCCATGACACTGGAACTATATGGTTAGAGGGACTTTTAATGAGTGTAAGTACTATTTGTAATTAAAATATCGCAAAAACTCACATAACATTTTTCTTTTAGATTTTCAAACCGAAAGATAACATGCTAAAGAACGACGGAAGTATCCAAGAAGCTGTGAAAAAAAATACTGAGCCACCTCAAGAAATAGTGCTGGCATGTCAGCAATTAGCTGATGGGCTTATAGACCGGCTGATTGAATTAGAAGACACTGATAATGCGCGAATGCTCGGTTGCATAACTACACTGCATTTGCTAGCAAAAGTGCGACCACAGCTCCTGGTTCGGCATGCAATGACTATTGAGCCTTATCTAAATATTAAATGTCATTCAGCCACAGCTGCAAAATTCATATGTGCTGTTGCAGATATTCTCGAGAAGGTGGTGCCCCTTGTTAATAACGCTAGCGAGTCTTTTTTGGCTTCTTTGGAAGAGCATTTAATGCTCTTGGTTGTTTCGCGGAACCAAGCAGAAGTAACCAGTTGTGTATCCTGTTTGGGCGCACTCGTCAATAAGATTACAAAGAACTATAAATTGATCCGCGATTGTTTTCAAAAGTATGTATTTCCATTTCCAAAATGTATTTCATTAATAGTAATTGGTACACTCCGTACTGCCATATTAGTGTATAAGTATGTTAAAAGCAAACAACAAGCCAAACAACATAAGCTGTTAAACGTTAAAGTTAAAACTAAATCTATTCCAGAGAATCTACCACTACTTTTTAACCATTTTGCATTTGTATACTTATGGGGTAGACAATCAGACTAGCCGGCATCAAGCCAATTTAGGTATTTCCGTCTGCACGTCTTATATGACAGCCTAGTTCTCGGAGACCAAAAGAGATAATATAACCGAAATGCTGGTATAGTTTATATCATTCTTTATCACTTTTATTTGAAATTATTGACCCACTCCAATAACGAAATTCTGTATCATCTGATCGGGTCTTTTCTGTCTGTTTTTTCAAAGTGTCTGTAAATAAGGGTTTTTTCTTTCGGACACCCCGAAAGTTTCAACAGTAATTAGCGAGAACTGGCTATAGTAATGATCAGATGTGACATTGTTTATGATTCTCTTTGATTGCAACAGACAGTTGCAATTTTTACGATTGAGTACCGTTTTTTTAATATGTAACTGACTGTGCAATAGTACATATAGTCTTATATAACCACTTTTATTTGTTTTTAGGTTCTATCGCGTTCTTGATGTTTCTCGTAATCAAGTGGTTCAAAAAAACTGCAGTGCAGATAATATTTACACGCCTAGCTTTCGACGCAGCCTTTTTACGATTGGCATCCTAATGCGATACTTTGATTTTAAGTCACCTATTGCCTTAGGTAAGTGAAATTTTGGATTTAATTGTGATTAAATCGAATCATATGTTTGTAATCATATTTTTAATTTTCAGGTGAAACAAATGGGGGCCTTCCGGCATCGATATGTGATGATGTGTTTGAGTGCTTGATGTTCTTTTGTCGTTGCTCAAATCAAGAAATTCGAAAGCAAGCTCTGATTTCACTTGGTTCTTTTTGTGTTCTGAACGATGATTACCTAACACGATCTGAGCTTAAACAGTTTTACTGTGATTTGTTAAACTCCACCACAAGCGATGGTGGCATAAAAATAATATGTATGCGTAATATTTGGATATACTTAACAGAATCTGAGATGTTTATGCACAATAAGGAAAAAGAATGTTAGTACAGTCTGTTTTGGATTTCTGTTTTATAGTACCTAAATGTACATTCATAATTTCTAGGGGAAAAACAATCAAAGCACGAAGACCTCAAGGAAATGAATGACGTGTCGTCAGGCATGTCAAGTCGGATAATTCAGCTCTATTTAGAAGAAATCCTCAACTGTTTTCTTAATCGGGATGATACGGTTCGACTGTGGGCTGTTAAAGTAGTACATATTGTTCTGCGCCAAGGCCTAGTTCATCCTGTTAGAATGGTTCCATATTTAATATGCTTAAGTACCGACCCCAAGGTAGAGGTGCGTATCTATTCGTTCATTTTGAAAATGAAAATCTAAAAATGCGTTTGATTTTTTCAGTCGGCCCATAGAGCTGATGCCTTATTAAAAGACATCGATAAAACCTATTCTGGCTTCGTAAATATGAAGGTTCAATTTGGATTACAACTTTGCTTTAAGTTACAGCAAATCTTGCAAATAAACAGCCGGGGAAACGTTGAAATCATTCGAGGTTATGCGTGAGTATTTAAATAATTCATATTAATCAGTTTATCAATATATTATTATTTTGTTTTTAGAAAACGAGGACCAGAACACGTGACTACGGCATTAAATGACTTTCTGTATACTTTACTTCGGTCCACAAAGCCACAGAGACGTGCACTGGTTCAGACTGTTACAAAACAGTTTGATGATCAGAAAACATCTCTTCAGCAAATGCTGTATATAGCCGATAATCTAGCATACTTTCCGTATGTAGTTCAAGATGAGCCTTTATATCTGATACATCAAATAGACTTGCTGATTTCAATGGCTGGAACACATCTACTTGCCACATTTAAGGAACATTTGAATCCAAATGACAAGGAGGGAGATGCATTAGAGGATGATGATGACGTGGAGGATCCTCAAGTTTTGTTTAATCGTTTGCCAGAAGACATGACCGAGATAAAAAAATGTATTACATCCGCCGAAGCGTGCATGCTCCTTTTAATACTGAAAGATCATTTAAAGGACATGTATGGTCTCACAGATGGTAAAATTTCAAGATATTCGCCTTCCGAGCAAAAAATGTATGAAAAGGCGATTACACGTAGAGGCGTCAACGACTTCAACCCTAAAACAACAATTGATTTAATTAAGAAACAGAAGTCACAGCAGCTTTCAAACTCAGAACCTGATTGTTCCTCAAGACCACTTACTAACGATGAAAAACTAGACCTTGTCGTCAAGTACCTGGATGTAAGTAACTTGTCGTACGCTATATACAATATATATATAACAATTTTATTTTTAGTTCAAGCAACTTATGCTAAAGCTGGATCCAGAGGACGGAGATTCAGATGGGGATGAACTGCGAGAAAAATCAAACTTAAATAACTCGTCCGTTTCTGATGGTCTAATTTACTTAAACTCTTCAAAAGGTTCTAAACCACCAAATGATGACAGCAGCTTTTGTTCGACACCAAATGTAAGCAATGTGCAATCATCAACAATACCTGCGACTTCAACGGATGTAAGTGTTTATATGAAATTTTTTATTGGTTCAAACTCTGCATTATAATGTGCACGTTGATTTAGGAAGGTACACCGAGGTCTCGAATCGTGAAATCATCAATTTTTCCTACAAAACCTAGTGGTCGTAAGCAATACATAGCACGAAATAAGCGAAAACGGCGCAAGATAATGTCGTCTGACGACGATGAAGTCAGTGATGAGGAATATGCGTGAGCTTGATCCTTTCTGGTTTTCTTGTATATGGTTTAGCAACTAATAACAACTCGTTTTGGTATACTTATTTATTACTCTATAAATAAAAATATACTATTTTCATGGGCGTTGTGTTCTTCACAAGAAACCTATAATATTACATGTACAAAAATTAATAAATGTTTATTTACAAAATAATTTTATCTGTAGGCAATTCAAATATTCGATAGAGTTAATTCCGAATAATTAACTGTTATGAATACATGTTCAGAATCTAAAACTCTAAGGTTTTAATAAATATTTACACCTACGAAAATAATATTTTCATTTAATAGAGTTCGTTAACTAAATTCCGTATTCTTTAGAAATTACCTCTAAGTTTAAACTTAATTTATTAAGAACAAAAAAAGTAAATAATTGTATAATAAGATATAGAAAATATAAATATGTAAATTTCGTAAACATAAAGATTTTGTAATCTTACTAATAAACCAAGTACAACCAATTTAGTTCCCTTTTCGTTTTCTATTTAGCGGTCCGGCCATATCGTTGCTCGTAGAAGAGTGCATACAGAAATATCCGGAGAGTCAAGTCAGTTCGGAATATTTGTACAAACTTGTTTCAGTGCTAAAAGCAACAAAATCGAGATACGAACCGCTTGAGTGCATAAATACAGCACAAACGTATGTAGGTGTTCTGCTTGATTGCTTTGCATTTTCCGCCTTTGCTTTCGACGTCTTTGTAGGTGTAGTGCAAACATACATTCTTTCATCATCGCTTTCGCTTTTGCTTCGGGACAAGCTTAAGATCTGTCCTATCGTTAGAATGGCGCAACCAGCTCTAATACAAAAAAATTAAGTACCTGCACTTTTTACGACGTAATTATTTCACAGGTTAATACATTACCGACATCGTCATCCCTCCTGCGCCATGCTTTACCTCATCAGCACCGAGTAAGTTTTCCTTGTTTCTCCCTATCCAACTTTTCTTTGTTCTTGGCTCTAATTCTTTTTGTTTTATTACCTCCAGCTCTAACTGTTGAGAACATCGACAACAAGGACTTTGACTTTGGCAACCAAGGGAGTGGCTACGCGTTCCAGTCTTGTATCTAAATAGATCTCGTTGTTGTTGGTGTAAAGATAGATACAAAGTTTTTCCACTTGTTTATCTATTTATATTAAGCTAAGTTTTGATGAATAAAAATCATCCATGCAAAGAATCGGGAAAATATTAGTTTGAGTCGTTACCAAAGGATCAAGGATATTTTTCCAATTGCAGGAAGCTATGGAACAGCCAGATCGGCCCACACGGACAAAACAGGATATATGACTGGATAAAATAGCTGACAGGACTCTCCCCATCACGAAAAGACATGCCGCGTCACGATCGGCTGCTGTATAGCTGAGATTTAGCTTACAGAAAAAAACCAGTATTTTAATGATATGCAAATCGAAATCTTCGGTAGGCTATATCTCAGCTAAATGTGGCCAGATCGGCGAAGGACAACTCTCGCAGAATCGTGAGGACCCAGCCTGTCGATTGGCATCAAAATCTCGACCTCGAAAATGAGGCCGATTTTTGACAAATTCAATGATGTAACCATCATGATTTTTTTGCGAAAATCGTGACGGAATGGATGTCCTTTTTTTCGATGGCAGTCGATTGGCAGGACTCTCCCCATCACGAAAAGACATGCCGCGCCACGATCGGGTGCTGTGTGGCCGAGCTATAGCTTACAGAAAAAAACCAGTATTTTAATGATATGCAAATCCAAATCTTCGGTAGGCTATATCTCAGCTAAATGGGGCCAGATCGGCGAAGGACCAACTCTCGCAGAATCGTGAGGACCCAGCCTGTCGATTGGCATCAAAATCTCGACCTCGAAAATGAGGCCGATTTTTGACAAATTCAATGATGTAACCATCATGATTTTTTGCGAAAATCGTGACGGAATGGATGTCCTTTTTTTCGATGGCAGTCGATTGGCAGGACTCTCCCCATCACGAAAAGACATGCCGCGCCACGATCGGCTGCTGTATAGCTGAGATTTAGCTTACAGAAAAAAACCAGTATTTTAATGATATGCAAATCCAAATCTTCGGTAGGCTATATCTCAGCTAAATGGGGCCAGATCGGCGAAGGACCAACTCTCGCAGAATCGTGAGGACCCAGCCTGTCGATTGGCATCAAAATCTCGACCTCGAAAATGAGGCCGATTTTTGACAAATTCAATGATGTAACCATCATGATTTTTTTGCGAAAATCGTGACGGAATGGATGTCCTTTTTTTCGATGGCAGTCGATTGGCAGGACTCTCCCCATCACGAAAAGACATGCCGCGCCACGATCGGGTGCTGTGTGGCCGAGCTATAGCTTACAGAAAAAAAACAGTATTTTAATGATATGCAAATCCAAATCTTCGGAATGCTATATCTCAGCTAAATGGGGCCAGATCGGCGAAGGACCAACTCTCGCAGAATCGTGAGGACCCAGCCTGTCGATTGGCATCAAAATCTCGACCTCGAAAATGAGGCCGATTTTTGACAAATTCAATGATGTAACCATCATGATTTTTTGCGAAAATCGTGACGGAATGGATGTCCTTTTTTTCGATGGCAGTCGATTGGCAGGACTCTCCCCATCACGAAAAGACATGCCGCGCCACGATCGGGTGCTGTGTGGCCGAGCTATAGCTTACAGAAAAAAAACAGTATTTTAATGATATGCAAATCCAAATCTTCGGAATGCTATATCTCAGCTAAATGGGGCCAGATCGGCGAAGGACCAACTCTCGCAGAATCGTGAGGACCCAGCCTGTCGATTGGCATCAAAATCTCGACCTCGAAAATGAGGCCGATTTTTGACAAATTCAATGATGTAACCATCATGATTTTTTGCGAAAATCGTGACGGAATGGATGTCCTTTTTTTCGATGGCAGTCGATTGGCAGGACTCTCCCCATCACGAAAAGACATGCCGCGCCACGATCGGGTGCTGTGTGGCCGAGCTATAGCTTACAGAAAAAAACCAGTATTTTAATGATATGCAAATCCAAATCTTCGGTAGGCTATATCTCAGCTAAATGGGGCCAGATCGGCGAAGGACCAACTCTCGCAGAATCGTGAGGACCCAGCCTGTCGATTGGCATCAAAATCTCGACCTCGAAAATGAGGCCGATTTTTGACAAATTCAATGATGTAACCATCATGATTTTTTGCGAAAATCGTGACGGAATGGATGTCCTTTTTTTCGATGGCAGTCGATTGGCAGGACTCTCCCCATCACGAAAAGACATGCCGCGCCACGATCGGCTGCTGTATAGCTGAGATTTAGCTTACAGAAAAAAACCAGTATTTTAATGATATGCAAATCCAAATCTTCGGTAGGCTATATCTCAGCTAAATGGGGCCAGATCGGCGAAGGACCAACTCTCGCAGAATCGTGAGGACCCAGCCTGTCGATTGGCATCAAAATCTCGACCTCGAAAATGAGGCCGATTTTTGACAAATTCAATGATGTAACCATCATGATTTTTTGCGAAAATCGTGACGGAATGGATGTTCTTTTTTTCGATGGCAGTCGATTGGCAGGACTCTCCCCATCACGAAAAGACATGCCGCGCCACGATCGGGTGCTGTGTGGCCGAGCTATAGCTTACAGAAAAAAAACAGTATTTTAATGATATGCAAATCCAAATCTTCGGAATGCTATATCTCAGCTAAATGGGGCCAGATCGGCGAAGGACCAACTCTCGCAGAATCGTGAGGACCCAGCCTGTCGATTGGCATCAAAATCTCGACCTCGAAAATGAGGCCGATTTTTGACAAATTCAATGATGTAACCATCATGATTTTTTGCGAAAATCGTGACGGAATGGATGTCCTTTTTTTCGATGGCAGTCGATTGGCAGGACTCTCCCCATCACGAAAAGACATGCCGCGCCACGATCGGGTGCTGTGTGGCCGAGCTATAGCTTACAGAAAAAAACCAGTATTTTAATGATATGCAAATCGAAGTCTTCGGAATGCTATATCTCAGCTAAATGGCAGGACTCTCCCCATCACGAAAAGACATGCCGCGCCACGATCGGGTGCTGTGTGGCCGAGCTATAGCTTACAGAAAAAAACCAGTATTTTAATGATATGCAAATCGAAGTCTTCGGAATGCTATATCTCAGCTAAATGGCAGGACTCTCCCCATCACGAAAAGACATGCCGCGCCACGATCGGGTGCTGTGTGGCCGAGCTATAGCTTACAGAAAAAAACCAGTATTTTAATGATATGCAAATCGAAGTCTTCGGAATGCTATATCTCAGCTAAATGGCAGGACTCTCCCCATCACGAAAAGACATGCCGCGCCACGATCGGGTGCTGTGTGGCCGAGCTATAGCTTACAGAAAAAAACCAGTATTTTAATGATATGCAAATCGAAGTCTTCGGAATGCTATATCTCAGCTAAATGGCAGGACTCTCCCCATCACGAAAAGACATGCCGCGCCACGATCGGGTGCTGTGTGGCCGAGCTATAGCTTACAGAAAAAAACCAGTATTTTAATGATATGCAAATCGAAGTCTTCGGAATGCTATATCTCAGCTAAATGGCAGGACTCTCCCCATCACGAAAAGACATGCCGCGCCACGATCGGGTGCTGTGTGGCCGAGCTATAGCTTACAGAAAAAAACCAGTATTTTAATGATATGCAAATCGAAGTCTTCGGAATGCTATATCTCAGCTAAATGGCAGGACTCTCCCCATCACGAAAAGACATGCCGCGCCACGATCGGGTGCTGTGTGGCCGAGCTATAGCTTACAGAAAAAAACCAGTATTTTAATGATATGCAAATCGAAGTCTTCGGAATGCTATATCTCAGCTAAATGGCAGGACTCTCCCCATCACGAAAAGACATGCCGCGCCACGATCGGGTGCTGTGTGGCCGAGCTATAGCTTACAGAAAAAAACCAGTATTTTAATGATATGCAAATCGAAGTCTTCGGAATGCTATATCTCAGCTAAATGGGGCCAGATCGGCGAAGGACCAACTCTCGCAGAATCGTGAGGACCCAGCCTGTCGATTGGCATCAAAATCTCGACCTCGAAAATGAGGCCGATTTTTGACAAATTCAATGATGTAACCATCATAATTTTTTGCGAAAATCGTGACGGAATGGATGTCCTTTTTTTCGATGGCAGTCGATTGGCAGGACTCTCCCCATCACGAAAAGACATGCCGCGCCACGATCGGGTGCTGTGTGGCCGAGCTATAGCTTACAGAAAAAAACCAGTATTTTAATGATATGCAAATCGAAGTCTTCGGAATGCTATATCTCAGCTAAATGGCAGGACTCTCCCCATCACGAAAAGACATGCCGCGCCACGATCGGGTGCTGTGTGGCCGAGCTATAGCTTACAGAAAAAAACCAGTATTTTAATGATATGCAAATCGAAGTCTTCGGAATGCTATATCTCAGCTAAATGGCAGGACTCTCCCCATCACGAAAAGACATGCCGCGCCACGATCGGGTGCTGTGTGGCCGAGCTATAGCTTACAGAAAAAAACCAGTATTTTAATGATATGCAAATCGAAGTCTTCGGAATGCTATATCTCAGCTAAATGGGGCCAGATCGGCGAAGGACCAACTCTCGCAGAATCGTGAGGACCCAGCCTGTCGATTGGCATCAAAATCTCGACCTCGAAAATGAGGCCGATTTTTGACAAATTCAATGATGTAACCATCATGATTTTTTGCGAAAATCGTGACGGAATGGATGTCCTGTTTTTCGATGGCAGTCGATTGGCAGGACTCTCCCCATCACGAAAAGACATGCCGCGCCACGATCGGGTGCTGTGTGGCCGAGCTATAGCTTACAGAAAAAAACCAGTATTTTAATGATATGCAAATCGAAATCTTCGGAATGCTATATCTCAGCTAAATGAGTGTCTGAGAACTAGACGTTAAACAAGACAGACGGCAGACAACTCACACAGAAAATGCATTTTGCCACCTCTTTTCTGCTGATTCCTCACCTTGCGTCGTAAATGGGAGGGAGATGATAAAAAATATGATTTACACACACCAGTTTGAAAAATTAAATATATATACAACTAGTGCTTCTCCTTATTTCTCAACCATGCAACAACAATGTGCCACAGCGAAACGTGGCTGGGCAGCTGTAACAAAGTCTGAATTTGAACATTCAAACATGCGTCCGAAAAACTAGAATGGACATGGATTTGGATCATCTGTACTTGTGCTTATTGGAAAAATTTAATTTTATTTTTGTTTACTCTTTGAATTGAGATATTGAAACTATTAAATGTAAATATACTCATCTTTACAGTTCACTTTTTTAACTCTACGTATTGTTTAAGCTATGCTCACCCTTAAAAGAGGTCAGCCAATTAGTAACTAAAAAGAAAAACAAACAAGAAAAGGAAGCCTTGTTTCGTCATTCCGTAGCTCTTAATACTGTTTCAAACCAATGGCTCCGAAGACTAGTTGCCCAAGTTGGCAGGAAGTTTGTTTGATATTTATACAGCAATCGTAGTTGTAGCAGACTAGTTGTTGGTGGATTGATACATAACTCTGATATTTTTTATGGGGCTACAATACCATTGTATGCGTTCAAACTTACGGTAATATTTTTATTTAATTTAAATTGTACCATACACATTAATTTTTAAAAATTAAAATTCTGACGGCAGTTTTTTTTTTGTTGCATAGTCATATTGAACAGCAAAATAACAGTTACATACATATATAACAAATTACTCTTTTATCATTCTTGTATGATCTGTGGGTTTAACGCTAAAATTTCAGTACATGTAAATAAATATGAACTCCTAATCATAACTGCAGTATTTGTATCTTATGAATTAATGTACAGAGTATGTATTCTACATAATTTTTGTATATTTGGTAACAAGTAGATGAATTTTCTTATTTCACGATTCAATACATTGTATGTTATGAAAGTCTATTTACAGTTTAAAATTAGTATACATCAATTTTTTTTCTCTAAAAATGCATATAAAGCTTGTATGATAGTAAAGGTTTAGGTAAGGGACTTATACATGGAACATAAGTATGTCGATATTATACATATACCTGTATATGTACGATAATTATAATTATAACTTGGAGCATTTTTTTTACTTTCGGTTGATTGAATTTGCTCCATTTCTTATAACATGAATTACTTTCAGCTTTCCATGAGTAATATTATAAATGCTAGGAATATTAGGGAATCTACAACTTTTAGTAGGCGAAAATTTGATAGAACGCTTACTAATAGGAATATGATTGAGATATATAATAAGCTTTTGGCTAATACTAGGCTGATTGTGCCATTGATACCACCTATACTAATTAACCCAAAAGTGCTGTTGCTCAAATTCTCACTATCCAAAGAACTTCGATTAGCGTGTTGCATGGCAGCAGTTTTTTCTCCTAAAGATTAAAATTTAAATGCATTAGTGGGCGAATATACATTATTCAATTATTATTACCTCTTAAAACATGTACCGTAATGCTAGCAGGACGGGCATTTGATGGAGCACAGGTGTAGTTACCAGCATGCCGAAAATTAACCTGTTTAATACTTAGAACACTCATAGAAGGAGCAAGAAGATATGAGGACTGGTGCGGTTGTAAATATGGTGGATTCGGCGATATGAAGTTTGCTGAAGTGGCTACGTTTTTGCTATTTAGAATTCCATTAATTGACTCCACGGGATCCGGAATAGGGATAATACGTGATTTGTTACCAGCAAACCCGGGCAAGACTCTAAAAATGTGTCCGTTTTGTACGCTACTCTTCCCATTTGATTCCATCGACGTCACAACAAAACCGCCTTGTACATCATAATTAATCATTTTGTTGTCATGATACCTAAATAAACAATGTTGCAGTAATGTTAAAAGAGTACAGCGATAAAATGAATCAAATATGTCATATGAATATGTAAAATTAAATATTAGACACCCAAAGAATTGATTAATAATAATAATAGTTGAAAATATGTTAAAATATACAAATCTGTTTGTCGTGTTTCGAACCCTAATATTCTCCACAAATTTCATAAATATCATAGATAAATCATAATGGTACATATGTACGTACAGCTGACTTGGGACCTGTCACCATCAACGTCTTTTTTACCATTGTCTTCGTTTAATTTGTCTGAACTTCGGTCTTCTGGAAACTTTCTCAAACTCTTATTCGAATACTTTTATCTTCGTTCACGCGTCGATAGACTTCAATAGATTAATGGTCACTTTTAAGAATCTCCATCACCATAAAAGGTCCTCAGAACTGAGGTTCCCACTTAACCAGCTGTCTACTTTGAACATAAATCAGAAAATATCATAGAGCGCAAATTTCCGTTAATTTTTTATGCATAGACAATATTCTTCTACAAAAGCGTGTACCATTTTGCCTTCAGCTCTACCTCTCCTGTCTGCTTTTCGTTAGCCAGGCCAACTACGTGCATTGTTAGAAATAGTTTATCGTTAATCAAAGCTGACTAATGGTTGTTTTGGACTAATGTTGTATAACACAGATAACAAGGTTTAGAGTTTAGATCAACTGAATGAATTGACACTCTGAGTGCTCATATTAAGAAAACTTAAGATAAAACACTTTTACTGTTTGTCAGAATCTGAAATTAGCTTTTCTGATTTTTAAAATGGTCTCTTACCAAAATACAAAAGAGGGATTTTCCGTCGCCCGCTTAAGTTTACACTCAAGCCGTAAAGTAGAAGTTTCGTCTATGTGAAGCTCAGGTGCGCTTGAAATTTCAGCAACCGCTTCTGTGATTATAAGACATTAGAATTTGTTTTGATTGAAAACCTTTTAAGCTAATACTACTTACCGACGATTTTTAGTTCAATAAAAATTGACTGGGTTGGGTAAATTGACAATTGACACTCATAAAATCCACGATCCTCTTCTCTGACGGCTTTAATTCTAAGAGACCAGTGACCCATATGCCGCGTATGCTCAACCAAAAACCGTTTATCGCTACTATGTGTTGACAACCCAACCGTTAGTAGCTGGAAATCTTTCCTGCGTATCCAAGAAACCTACAAAGTGGTAATTTAATAATTATTTGATTTTATGCATTTAAAAAACTTAAATCAATTATAATATAAGAAATGAGAATTGTAGCACAGAGTTATAATGTTTAAAAAGCGTACGTGTCATAAAGTCCGGTGTCATAAGAACCGCGAAAGGACGCGATAAAGGCAGCGCGGAATCAAAGATTCTGAAAATCTATTGCTGCGATGGAAGCAGCACTGGCCGACCGCTGCTTCAAGCTGTTGGAGAAGCAGCCCGAACCCCCCGCCCAGTCTGCACAGACATGGGATGGTACCAGGTCTTCATCAAAATACAAAGTACAAAGCAGCGGTAGCGCAAGTTGGAGAGGTCTACCCAGGGCGAAGGTCGTCGCTGTAGACTGGAGCAAAGTGTCTAGTAGACCAAGGGCGAGAGTGTGGGTGCCCGCCTTCATGGAGGAGCCGGATCGTATCCTGAAAATGCTGCAGACATGCAGACCTAGAATGCTACGCCTCCGATACCACGCCAAGACACCGGCATTACAGTGCTGGAAACTCTAAGGTTGTTCTTATGGATCCTTCAGATCAATCTCCACCACTGGAAATCCCATGCTTCCTAGTTCAGGAATCTTGGATAGTGTGAGAAAAGGTTTGACAACTAGCGACGAAGGAGTACAAGGTTGCAGCTCAAAATGAAAGTAAAACACGCACCTGCATCCTTGCTAAAAAGCACCTTGTAGATCAATTGCTCATATGCAGGACGGTGGCATCATCGATAGGATCGTCCGCCCAGTCAAGGTATGTCACAACAGAGGCACCCAGCAAGGTGGTTTCTCCTATTCTTTGGATCGTGTCAGTCAACAAGATTCTATGTGACCTGAAAGGGTGGGGCTAGAAGTCCGTGGCATACACGGTCGACGTTGCAATTATCTTCTCAGGGAAATACCTTCTATCACTCTACGCCTTAATGACCGCAAAGCTTGCGCGACTGTCAGAATGGACATAATCGCGTGGACTGGGAGTAGGTTGGGTAATTGACAAAAAGCTTAAGTGGACCCAAACGTAAAAAATACTGAAGAAGGCAACGAAAGTGCTCCGTGAATGTAAACAAGCTATTGGCTTGAGATGGGCATGAACCCAAGTATAGTCCAATGCGTGTATCTAGCAACAGCTACCCCAATACTACTCTACGGAGTTACCGTGTGGTGGCCGGCAATATCAAAAAAGACGATCACCAAACAACTGGGCAAAGTTCAGCGGACCGCCGCCCTATGCATCAGTGCAGCCGGTGCGAAGGGCTACAAATGATGCGCTAAATGCTAAATGGCACTAATGGGTGCCACAGCATATGGGTCGCTCATACATACTAAACAACAGCGATATCGTCTTAGCAAAAATGGACTACCAAGTTCCCAGAGAGTATACAGATACTCCTATCAATACAATCATCTCTCACAGAGACTCCCCAGCCCAGATGGCGCCATACACTGGATGGATCGAAGCTGGACGAAAGGGTTGGACGAGGAATCTACTGTGAACAGTTCGACATAAGGCACTCCTCCAGGCTACCAGACAACTGTAGCGTCTTCCTAGCGGACGTCAGTGCAGTCAGGGAAGTTCTAACCTAACCTAAACTTGCTTGGTTAAAATCGTTAAAAAAAAATTACATATACGTACATACATATCAAAATCGGTCGAGTCATTTGTGAGTGTATTAGTTTTAGTTACGTTTGTGTTAGTTACGATTACTTATATTTATTTTAAGTAACAAAAATACGGCTTACCGTTGCTGGAGAGTTAATTTTGACGACACAGGGTAATATGGCAAGCCCTCCTTTCTGGGCAATTACCCTAGTGTTGTTTTTGGTGGTGAACTGACTCTGTATAGTATTTCCAAAGTGATTTTGAGAGGACGTTATTTTGCCAACATCTAAAAAATTTAAAATTTATGTTATATTATATTAGGCTATGAAAAGAGAAAGAAAAAAAAGAATAGCTAGTCTAGTCCAACGATTTGGTGAGATTGTTGCCAGGTACTGGTTGCGGAACGGCCTACCTTCTGGTAGATGCGCTGCGACAAAAGGGGCGGAAGGGGGTCCTGTCAAATTTTGAAATGATCTTGATACATTGGGATATCACAGGAGCGTAGCTCTAGCTCTCTTTACTCTCTGGGAGTTGTCAAACCAAGACGGACAGACGGACGGACGGCAGGCAGACATGCCTATATCGACTCGGCTATTGATGCTGATCAAGAATTTATATATTTAAGTCCCTAATGCTCCTCTATGTATACGACGATAACCCAAAAAAAGTAACGAATTGAAAGCTTTCTAATGCTCAAATCGTAATCGTATAGAACGCAAAATGTGTAGCGGCTTGTAGACATTTTTAAATGTAATAATTTGCTATGCAAGTCGCGCAGTTGAACACGACATCCGATCGTTCATAAGGCAGAGCCGGAGAATCCAGCATTCAACAGTTGCTGAAAGAGTCCTAAATTATTTCTCGCGCATAACGCTACAAAATCACACAGGAAGCTGGTAGAAGAATTTGTGAAGAACCTGTATTCCTTGTGAAGTAGTAGAAACATCCCGTTGACAATATGTAGGCAGCGAGTATTGGGATCTATGAATGTACTTTGAGTTCTCGTTAGTTAGGTTCCAAGAGATTGATTCGAGAGGCCTAATATCACTCTTAGGGGTTATTTTCACACAAATTTATATACCCTGTCCCACGTTGGTAGACAAAATCTAAATCTAAATCTACACGCGTTTTTGTGAATGCACGAGTGCACTTTATTGACTTTGGATGACTCCGGAAGAATGTTCAAAAAAGGTACGCACGCCTGGTCTTTGGTAACATTGGGTGCATAAACATGATGAGAGATGATGGATTACATTATGAGGGAACATGAAGTGTGAGAGGATAAGAGGATAACAGTAAGATTAAGACATTGGCAAGGGAAAGTTTGACCGAACAGATATTATTTATCATTTACAATTGCTCCTTTAGATTCACTAACAGAAGTTAGTAAGGGGCACATTTTAATTTTTTGTAATTTGTAATTTTTTAAATCGGTTCCAAAAAATTATTCATTAAAACATTAATTTTGAAAGCATGCCAAAACAACAACAAAAATAAAACTCGAGTCGAGCATCAATGTGCTAAAAGAACAACTAGAAGAGTCTCGACCTTCGGCGTAGCAGACTTATGTCCGTCTTCAAAGACAGTATATTTTAATTTTGTACGAAGCCCCTTTGTTGATATCCAAAAACCGCAAAACAGATGCTGCGATGCGAGCTGGGGAAAGGAGGTACCTCTCATCACCTTTTTCCCAATCCCTATAAAAACTTGCAATGAATAATTGAACACAAAAAAAGTACAAAGGTACCCTAAAGAGCCATTAGGTATTTAAACACCAATTCTATGTACACATATGTATGTCTTAATGGTTTAAAAGAACTTAAAAACATAATACAAAAAACATGTTGCAAGATAAACTTTTTTTATTGATGAATTTTATCTAATGTACATTTGTACATATTTATATACATACAAACATATACATAAACATATTTGACATCTGCTATAAACATACATATGTATGTATTTATTTATTGGTCCTAAGACTTTAAGGATATATACATACATATGTATATAAATATGTACCGACATAAAATTCGGAGCATCGAATTTTTTGATTCCTTTCAACTAAAGTTCGCGCGCGAAATAATCTAGAAATAAGTATACATATGTGATTTGACATACCTGAAAATGTTGAGCTAAGCAGCAGGAAAAAACATGACAGCTGCAAGTGCCATCTTTTCGGTTCCATTATTTCCAAATTTAAATCTTTCCGAGCTTGAATTTTTTTATGTTTGTTGCAGAAACATATTTGTCAGACACCAATTTCAGATTGCACATGTATGCACATATTCAGGAAGGATCATTTTATACTATAGACGTACATACATAATACATTTTATACATTAATAAAAATGTAGCACTGTTCCACTTGAAAACCTTGACCACCTCGCTTTTTGAATATGGAAGAGCATGCATGCAGATACATTCATACATACATATGTATGTTGCATGCTACACACACAGTAAACAAATTGCTTCCTTTATTTATAGGCATACATAGGTCAATTATAGATGTACATATGTAGGCGCTCCTTGTTTTATGTTTCAATAGTTTAACACCTACAATTTATACATTTCCTACATATTTACATACATTGTGTATGGTTTTTAAAGGATATTATATTTTGATTCTGTACAAATATTTGTATCTACATAAGTAAATATTTACTTATTTTTGTACGAAATATGTATGTTGAAATTTATTTACATATGTGTATACATAGTACGCAGATAAGAACCACACAATTGAGCAATAGTTTCTCAGTAGATCTTGTACCTATGTATTATATATGTACATATGTAGATATTTTATATTCATTCATGTATAAAGTATCCTCAATGTGTCGTTGATACAGTATGTACATATTTTAAATATGTAAATACATTTTCAAAGTACTCCAAATATATTTTAGTTTATGTACATATGCACATGCAAAAAAATTAGCACAAAACTAATTGAAATTCACTTGATGGCTTAATAATGCATTGCCCGGCTTCAGAACTTTTTCTTTGAAATGTCAAACGGAGACTAAATTCCCGTCGGAAATGTACACAAACATACATACATATCCACGTACAAATGTTCTCCTTATAACTCACGCAATCGCATTATGTAGGTCTCAACGTAACAGGGGGAGCCAGGAACATATCTTCAGACATGAATGCGTATGTATGTATGTAAGCATGCGCGTGCGTGCATTTGTCCAAGCGCGAACTGCGCCCATCACAGTACATGCCAGGGATGGTACAAATGATTCACTAAAGTTGCTAAAATGTTCCAGGGCCTAAAGTTACATAAATTCTCTTGTAAAGCTTCTTTAAAAATCGGGTAGATTTCTTTTGTAAGCTGCTCGTTGATATATACTGGTGCTGGTGAATTTAGTCCGAGTGACTGCAAGATGATGGGTTTTCTTTTCCGACTGCACATACCGAAATTATGCAGTTATGCCGCTCTATTGCGAACCAGTTCCAGTGTGACCGTGATGAAAGGAACTGAATCCTAAAATCGCATGCGATTTTAGCCATAGCCTGTGCATCGACCCTTAGCTTAAGCTGGGCTTCTATTTGGGTCTCACCCAGTTTGTTTTCGACAAAACTGAACTCTCTTTGTAAGATTCGAGATCTCACCAGCCATACTGCTAAGCTCTCCTGCCGCTCTTCTGCCTCATTTATCTTTGTAGAAGTGAGACTGACTTGCTCTTCAAATCGTTGGTTCAGGATCTGAACCAATTCCGGGACTGTCGTTTCTGACGTACCACTTAAATCCATTTCTGCGTCATCCTGTCTCTTTTGTAAATGTGTTCGATGCTTTCGTTTGAAGCCAGTGGAAATGGAATGGAATGGAAAGTTTATAAAGTAGTTTCTCTCTCTGGGGTGATAGCTCAGGGCCAGCTAGGGTTTCAGGGCCGAACGCATTCAGAGACAATAGCCAACTAGACTATGATAGATGCAGATCATTAGGTACTACAGTGAGTTTCTATCATTGAATAGAATAGGTATCGGGGGTTCTAAGGTACTCGGGAGAAAGTGCATAACGATCGGCCTAGCAGAGGCCGATACACGTGAGCACGTATGTGCGGCCCTATCCCAAGGAAAGAGCACGGATCATTTTCAAATCACCATAAAAAAAGCTCGCACGAGATGATGTCTTCTGAAAACGGCGATATTATGGCAGCATACTAAGCTTATTATTCTGCATACAATGCCTGTCGATGGTTTGTTATTTTGGAGGCGTCTCCTTAAAATCACAAATAATATCGACGACAATTTAGTTACCTTTACATTCAGAACTGTATAAAAAAATAATTATGTATATTTCCATTGAAGGAGTGGGATAGGGGCTTTCGGATTATTACATTTTGATTTAATTGAATTTTTAAAGATAATCTATAAAATGAACTGTGTTCTAAAATAAACGTTTATTTAATACAAGACATTAAATATTATTAATCCTTGGCTCTTCTGGGTCTTCCTACTTTCCCTTTCCTTTGTGCAAGCGTACCATTCGAATTTGCTGGGCTTTTGAGCAGTTTATGCCAATCCTGTTCACACACCAAGCTGGCTCCTAGCATCGTGTACCTAAAAATATTACAAAAATCGTGTGTTCACATATAGTTCATTTGCTTATCCAATATTAGGGATAATATTATGGAATAAGTCTGCTTTATGGAAAGCAGAAATAATTTAAAAAAAAGCGTCGGTACACTACTATCAGCGGTAAGGGTCACTCTACTTTGATACCTGGTACTCAAGCAGTATAAATGTAAGCTTATGATTTATGTAACTTATACAAAATATTGTATAGGCAATTACGTACAGAATGATTTCTTTCTCTCTCTGTCTTTTGTTATCGCTGTCTGTAAAAAGGACGAATTGATTTGTTTGTGATTGTGGGAGGAGAGATCTCTTTTAATTTTGTTGGCACTTGTTATGAGAGATAAAAACATAGAGAGAAACAGAGGAACCACGGTGCCTGTTATATTCTAATGTCAGTTTTTTCACTATTTCCACCCAATGGCCTATTTTATTATAATTTTCAAATATTTTATCGATTCCCATTTTTCTGCTGGTGGTTTTAATTACGCAACATATGTCCCTCTCTCTCTCTACTCATACCAACACCAGCTGTTATATCTCGCCAGACGTCGCAGACAGCACGTGGAAGACTGTGTGAGAGAGAGAGAGAGAGAAAGGATGAGTAACGGCGTGGAAGAGGTACCGGTACCGTAGTCACTGCAAAATGATGTGTTCCTTCTGGATATAATACTGATCCGATCTGATCTAGATACGAAAATCTGGCACAATAAGTTTCACCTCGAAAACTGCAACCTCGGTGAGGTACCGCAAAGGAAATGATGGTACGTGGACTAAATCCAGTGAGTAGTCCCTACACATTTTATTCGATACTCATTTCCCTGACTTTAGAACCATCGAACCGACACACAACCCTAGTGAAGGCTAAACGTAACATTACCTGGGTAGTAAACAGCTTCAACCCGTTAAAATGTCCAGATAAGGTCAGACGTGGCCATCAACTGGCTGCAATGTATTTTCAGGAATGTGGGAAAGGAAAGGTAGTGGGGAAAATTCCACACGCTTGGCTTAAGGCAAAAATAGTGTGTATCTAATCAGTATATCGTCCTTTCATCTCAAAATCATTGACGGTCAAGTCAAGTAACAACTGAAGACACCAATAAATCCTCACATACTGCCAGGGCACAACATGCCTATCGGAAAGGAAAATCCACAGAAACGACAATCTCTGCATCTCAAAGAGTTCTTCTGTACAACTTTCTCGACATCGAAGAACAACGTCGCACCAGGAGCCATTAAGGAGGCCCTGCCGGATCAATTGATCATATGCAGGACGGTGACATCATGGATGGGATCGACCACTCAGTCAAGGTATGTCAACAGAGGTACATCCCAAGGCTGTATCCTGTCTCGTCTTCAAAGGAACATAGCAGTGAACAATATTCTGTATGGCCGGGGAAGTACACTCAAACGCTTTGCGACTTAATGACTGCAAAATTAGCGCGACTGTCAGAAAAGACAAAATCCAGCGGTCTGGGAGCTAATCCTTTGCTCACTCCATGCCACTTTTTAATCGGCCAAGCTTATATCTATGGTATTTTTCTTTGTTACTTGAGCAAGGGGGGCGGGTTTTTGGCGCACGAGCGAAGTGAGTTGGGGCTAGACCCCAAGTGTAAAAATATTCAATAACTAATCAAATTTTTGTAAAATTTAAAATATAGACATACATACCTATCACCAGGGCGTAGACTTGAGCCACACTTTGCACAACTAAAGCACCTTAGATGAAATACACAGTTAATTATTTGTTTTTGTTGACTTTGTATATCAATATTATTTATTCCAGTAAGCGCTTTTGCTACCAATTCACTTGGAGGAATTGTTTCGCCACATCCGGAACATACTCCAGAGCATCCGAACATACTGCAAAAAAGAATTCAATTAATAAATTGAAAAAGCTCTACAATACAAAAGATATCGTACTAAAACAACAAAATATATCGCTATCATTTCAGAATACAATCGTCAATAGCAATTGTTTTCCTTTTTTCTTCAGTTAGAATACTTCAAGTACATAGGCTGCTATTTAAGTTTTCGGCGTAGCTATCGAAAAAACATACGTTGATGGTTAAAAATGGTTTATTAGATTTGGAAATATTCCTCAAGAAAATGAATACCAATTTAGAAACTATGGTTAAAAATGGTTCAATTGGTTGTGCCAAATAAATGGTTAATTGCCACTCAGAATTGATCTTTCTCCTTTTGTCTATCGATAAAGTTGATCAGTTTTCGAAAAAACAGGTGATCAGTTGGTTGGCTTGGGAGACCACTTCTGACGTTGATGGAGCAGGCCATGGCTTGCCCCAAAACTGACTACCTCCCGTTGTTGAGACACTCAGATTTGGAGCGCGTGCTCTCGGTCAGCAAGACGGAGAAAGAGAGCCCTCACCGCTCGCCTGTACCAGGTACCAGCTCCATTCGTAGGGAGGGGCTAAAGCGTTTCAGGGAGGGTAGGAAGGCTAAAGCTCAATACAAGGCGGCCCTTAATATCCAGATCCGGCTCCAAGGAAAGGCGAATAAGTCCCAAGAGAAGAAAGCCAAGCTAGAAGAGTGTCGACTGAATTACAAACAAATGACCCAGATGGGGGTGTCGAACGGCGAATACGCTAACAAGAAGAGGCAACGCTCTTACGATAATGCCAAACTGGAAGTGGTCCACAGGGATCTAATCCCGTCTATACTAAAGACGAACGTGGGAGTAGAAAGTGTGGAAAAGCACCTTCTGGTAGCTTCCTTCTATATGGCACACGCGGACCCGCACTACTTGAAACAATAAAGAGCCTGG